CTAAATGTGGTAATTTTAAGTACAAGTGAAGTAGAAAGAGAATTTTATATTTTGAAAGTAGTTTGTGTTTTAAAAAAAAAAAAATCACATAAAAAGTTTGGTGTTTTCAGTTACTTTGTAATATGAGATTATAATTTTATAAACTACCATTTTAGGTAGTGGATGCTATTAAGGGGAGGATAAACCTTTATAATGGTACTTCATAATGTTATTTTCCCACGTGTGTGTGACAGTTTAATGTTTTTCAGTTAAGTTTTTAAATTCCTGTGGTAAGCCTAATGTTAAGGATAATTTGGGACAAATTATGACAATGTCCGCGTGTGTGTGACATTCGGATTTTGTATTTTTTATAACCCTGTTATGGAGGGCTAAATATTTCATTTTACAGTTTTCTATAGGCTAATCAAACCCTGCTGGGAGCTTAACTTTCATTCACACTTCACATGTTTTCTTCAGTATTAGCCTCAACTTTCAAACAGCCAGGACCTGGTAAGAATATTTCATCATTTTATCCACTTTTTGTCCCCTTTTGAATATTTCAACATTATATTTGTCATTTCTACTTTATTCCACATAACTTTAGCTTCAACCTAGTGTAAATACTATTTTTGTATTTTGAATACTTTTTGAGATATTTACTTGAGTATTTCTATTTGCACCGTCATGACAGTTTTGGCATTTGTGCATAGAATTCATAAAGTTACATTCTTTGTCAATAAACAGATAGTATCCCTACATTGTTATTTGTGACAACTATTTGGTAATATGACTTATCTTGCCATACTTATTTTATAGCCACGGGTCTACCAGTGGGCTTTCTAGTGCTAATACTCACCACCCTGTTGAGATATATTTAGGTACTTTTATATTTTTATTATTGTAAACCTTCACGGTGATGTTCTATTAAATCCATTTAATTTCATTATATTTGATATGGTAACTATAATCTATAAAGTGTATCAAGCACTGTGTTAGGGTTTATTTTGGAAACATAACAAGGGCCCTTTTTAATTCCACAGCCCTCTCACTAACTGGTTTTATCGTAAAACTGTAGATTATTACACTGTATTGAATGCCTTATGTATATGGTGTACGTGTACCTTAATATATTTCTTTACATTTTAGGGTCAAGTGTGGGTGCCCTAGCGGGTGGCCTGGTCATTTAGGCAGATAGATTCTGGTCATTTAGGCAGATAGATTCTGGTCATTTAGGCAGATAGATTTTGGTCATTTAGGCAGATAGATTTTGGTCATTTAGACAGATAGATTTTAAGCTCTATATTCATTTTAAGCTAGATAGTATTCACTTTAAGTTAGCTATTCACTTTAAGTTAGCTATTCACTTTAAGCTAACTATTCACTTTAAGCTAGCTATTCACTTTAAGCTAGATTGTCACTTTAAACCAGATATTTTATTCCATTTGCATATATTTTGAAATAAATCAGTGTTTTATAGTTTTACATCATTTTTCGTGTTCCCATGTGTTGTCCCTCGCCCCATGGTTACAATAGTACAAAAGTCTTTGTTACTTTTACTAACAGCTACATTAGACATCTAATTTAGACATCAATAAATGCGATTGCATGCCCTCTATTTGACTTCATATTACACACATGTCAAAATCCTAGAGGAAAAAATATTTTATATCTGAGATTGACAATTTCACCCATCAACTGCGAGTGTATCTAAAGAATGGTTCGTGACATTTGATGTTAGTTTTGGCAACTTTGACAGCTTTTGAAAATCAGTCTTGACAATGATGGATGAATGTTATGCCTTGGTGCAGATTATTACAATATATGCACATGACAAATAAAATTTTATTTTTCTAACTAAAAGTCCTTCAAAATCAACTTTTTGAAATTTAATTGAAAAGTTTCACATTCCCCATTTTGATAACATTGGGCAAGACTATAATATAAGCCAAAGCGGTATAAACTTTATGCAGGGCCTTTAAATAAAAATATATTGACCTATCTCAACATTTTTGTTGAGTTAAGGCAAATCAAAAAGAGCACTTTAAACAAGTACAATACTTTTTAGGTATCACTGAAGAACAGATCAGAACAGTTGTGTTTTTTAAATAAATTTATTTTACTACGGTGATATGTGATATGTTGATTTCAAAAATATCTAGAATGGTAAACAATCATATAACAAAACAATTACATATTAATCACAAAATTGAGCATTACATAATATTGGATATGTTACAAACAGTTGATATGTCCATCCACTACAGCACTAATCATAAAAAGGCCCCATGAGTGCTCAAAATTCCTTGTTTCACATTAATATCAAAACAATGTTTGAATTTTTTGGTATCTAATAAAAAAAATCGCAAGACTTACATTATTACATTACATAATATTACATTACGTTATTCAAAAAAAAGATTGCTCCATCTTTTTGGTCATTTTTACCACAGAATTTCTATTTAAGTGACATTGCTTCAGTTTTATTTGAAGATTGCATACTAAGTCTTCTTGTGCCTGAATTTTGGTTCTAAAACTTGAAGAGGTAAAGATGTTTCTAATTCAAAAAGATTACATCTTTGCTCATATCATTTGTATTGTATCATAAAGTTTATATCGTTGCTTGTTTCGAATTTGAAAAAAATGTCACGGGACCCCTTTTTACAATCCATGTGAAATGTTCATCTAAATAAATCCATAATTTTTTACTCTAAAGGCCTACTACATCTACACCCTAGCTCATATTTAAATGATTCTGAATGAAGTACTTTACATGCCTATCTATGTAATAATAAAATTGGAAAATACATATGAACAACAGTGTATGATTTTTTACATCAAACCGGTTTGATTAAGTTATGTATTATTCACATTGAATACAATATTCCTTGACATTTTTAGCAGCCATAAATATGATGCTTTACATTCCTTTTTTAACTAAAGGTTATAGGTGTCTATATAACTCCTATTCAAGGGTATATTTATGTTAACTCTATTTGAGCACTCTATATGTATCATTATTATTATTTACGAGGGTCAATCAAGTTCAATGTGTGTCAAGACTCGAAATAAATTTCATTTCATTTGGTGAGAAATATGGAATTCTGAATCATGTCTTGTTAAGAAAAAATCAAGGCACATGATATAAATGGGGAATTTTGTCCTTTGTGAGTTTGAAAAGAAAGTTTCTAAATGAAACATTATTTGATAACTGACATTTGTCACGACTCTTCATATGATTAATATCACATTCATTATGTTTATAATTTTTTCAAATTATATAATATTATATTCCTATACATGGAATAATGTGCAAATATCCACAATTTCACTTACAAAAGATTATCTTTCCCTAGCTTTAAGTAGTTTTTAAATTCATTGCACATGTCATTTCGCCTCTAAAAATATACATTTATACATGTATGCACTTTTCTATAAACATGTACATGTCTATGGTCATGCATCAAATAATCAGTCAAAAGTCTAACAACAACAAGAACCTCAACATAACGTAACATTTTGTAAAGAAAATCAAAACAATTAAATGCCTTTAATGCCACTGGCAACATTGAAAACTGTATAGCTACATGTACATGTTGTGTTTATATATTTTACTTACAGTGCATTTACTTTATTGAGGTTTTGATACAGTAAAACCTGTATAAGTGGAATAAGTGGGATAACTTTGGTACTTCAAAACTCTGTTCTCATGGCTTATGCCTGAGTCACATTTTCTCCGATTCATTGGCCGGCTCCTGGCTGATTGAGTATTTTGTTCAAAATTCTATTCAGTTTTAAAGAAAATATTCGATGGGCCGGGTGCCAGCCAATGCAACTGAGCAAATTTGACCTAGGCATTACAGAGGTTCATTAGTAAAATAGGTAAGTTTTATATGGAGGTACTCTACTAACAAGTTTTACTATATGCATATATTTCATCCTTTTATCTATAAGGATACTCACTAGTGGGAGTTAAAGATCATGAACCCTGTTATTTACTTTTTACAATATAATGACACATTAAGTACAATAAAACCTATGTATATTGAACATTTTATGCCCAGAAAAAATATTCAGTGTTGGTAGGTGTTCACTGCAGAAAGGGTAATTTATACAGAAGTCTGTACAGTATGCATGGAGGAAGAGTGTCCACAGGGGACAGGTGTTCACTAGAGAGAGGTGTTCACAAAGACAGGTTTTACCGAAATTAATAAGGCGTTTTTCTGTGAGTTAAATACTCTTAAGGTCTGTTTTTATGAGAAAATATTTGTAAAATACTTTTCTTTTAATAAAAAATATTGACAATTTGAGAGGCTGATTGTGCATAAACATTGATTTGACAACTTTTAAATTGTTACTGTCCAATAGAAAGTACTTGTGAATGGGAAAAGGTAACCCAAGGGCGAAACAATATACAGTATGAGGCTATGATAAAATATTTTTTATATGACTTGCATTATGTATGATACAAAGGAATTGAAAGGGTACAGCACTTATATGTTATATTACACTTATACATTGTGTGTCTCAATTATACAATTCAGGATACAATATCGATTCTGGTATAAAATATAAAAGCATCTTTCGAGAAATGAGCATATATGTTGTTGAGTATACTGATATGTCGGTAAAAGGAAATAGAGTGGAGACTATTTCCCCACCCTATACATAATCTCTTTTTAATTCTGAGTTTCTACTTTTATTTCTAAATCTCTTAGCTCTACATATAGCAGTATGTTCCTAGGTCTACATCTAGTAAAAATAAAATCATTAAAAATGTATATCTATATATCATAATAAGTACAGTTTAAAAGTACTTTTTTCTGAATGAGCATTGATATTGAAGTAAGTTGTAAGCAGTCAAATGAATATAATAAATATATGTATCTACATGTATGCGGTATAAGCAACACATATATATATCAGTTGATAGATATGTTTCATATAAGTACTCATGAATTATAATTGGTTTAAAGGGTCTTGTTTAGACAAAACTGGTTCAACACTGAACTCCAATATAGGTATTACACATCTACTTTATCCTTAATATCTGGGTACAAGTTTAGTTTAGTGTCTTCACTAGCATTTGCATCATCATCTGTTTGGTCCCAATCTCTATTAACTCCATCATCAGTATCACCATTTTGAACGAGTGCTTTATTGTCATCATTTGCATTGTCATCCTTGTTTTCCTTCAAGTCAGCATCATCATCTTCATCCTTCATTCTTCCCATCATTTGGGCTGCAACAACGGCATCATGTATCGTCATATAGAGATTGTCCATATATGGAAACTTGACATGCTTCAGTATCTGAACCACACCATAGGGGCAATTCGCGAGAAGTACTCTTACTTGTATGGCTTTGTACTTCCTGTAGATTTGAAGTAACATACCAATCCCAACGTTATCCATATATGCCATTGTGCTACAGTCGACAACTATCGTGTGAATGCTCAATGGTTTATCATCATTATCGTCATTTTCGAGACCATTCATCTTTTGAGGGTTAAGTGCCTTTTTGAAGATTTTCTGCTTGAAAATTTCAGCATTTGCATAAAATAAGGGGGCCTCGAATTTGAAAATACGGACTCCATCAGGAAGTGTAGCTTTCTCGCAACGTATGCTATTGGCATATAACTCGGTATCAGGAATGTTCCCCATTGAGTAACTAATAGGTACTTGAACTCGAATAACGAGAGTTAGAAGAGAGAATCCTATACCTATGAAGAGCCCATAGTCCATATCCAAAATAGTCGCACAGAGAAATGTCACTATCCAAATCGCCAGATCATATTTTGATGTTCTCCAGAAATCAGGGAGTGTACGGAACTGGTTGAACATTGGGAGCAAGGAAACCACAATAATTGCTCCGAGAACACTGTTGGGGAGAGACACAAAAAGGGGGCCCATTACTAATATTACCAGCAGCACAAATATGCTGGAGAAAACACTAGCAAATTGTGTTTTACCCCCTGCTGAATCGTGAACAAGAGTCCTGGGGGGTGCAACTGCACCGGCGAAACTATGAAAGAATGCACCAACTCCATTTGCTACGCCATATGCAAAAAGTTCTTGGTTTGCATCTATCTCATAATTGTACTTCTTTGTGAACACTTTTGCCATTGATATTGAAATTGCAAAGCTAACAATAGCAATGATAAAAGCTTCAGCGATATAGTTCTGGGCTTCATTCATAGGTGGCACAACTGGTGTGGGTACTCCTGTTGGAATATTTCCAACAATTCTGATGCCAAATTTCTGGTTAAACTTTCCAAAATGTGACGCTATTGTTCCTATGGCTACAACAATGAGTTCAATAGGGATGGGTACAGGCAGTTTTTCTTTATAACGTTCATTGATGAATTTTCGCATCAGTATCAGCATAGCACAACACAGAATAGAGATTATCAGATCGGCAATGTTAGTATGCATAATATTGCTGAAAATATCAACATAGGTGAGAATGAGTTTGAATGGTCCGGTGTAGGCTTTCACAAGAGTAGGGATACCGAGCATGAACTTTACTTGACTCGTAATGATATGTAGTGTAGCTCCCATCATGAATCCTCCGACAAAAGGTTGCGACAGATACACAGTGATAAACCCCAGCTGTAGAAAACTCATGATGATCTGGACCAGGCCTGACAACAGAGACAACACAAGAGCCACTTCCACTTTACGACTATTCAGCGCCTCCTGAAAACTATCATCAATGTTGTTTGTCTCATTCATGTCCAGACCTATTGAGGAATTTATGTCTGTAACTATAGTAACCACACTTGGCGCATCAGATGACTTCTGGAAATTTTCTTCAAATTTTGTCGCCTCCCTCTGAACAGCAGATCCAACCATCATTGCAATGACGGCCATTGTTCCGAATGATATATGACGCGATGTACCAAATATGAAATACAGCATCACAGGAAAAAATGAGCTATAAAGTCCATACACGGGTGGTAGATTTGCCAGCAGGGCAAAACCCATGCTTTGAGGAACATGTATTATTCCAACACTTAATCCAGCCATTACGTCACCAACAATATCTTGTTTCCACTTATATTCTATCAACGTTTTCACGAATGGAAATGTGGAAAGAGCTTTTGTCTTTAACCTCTGAACAGAGCAGGAAAATGCTGAACGACAACTGCTTCTGACCTTTTCTTTACATGATTGGACGTGTTTTGGTAAAAGCGGATATTCCTCCAGGAAACCATCTCGGGAAAATGCCTTCCTATCAACTGTTATATGAGACTCCATCGTGGATCCTGAAATTATAAATCAAAGTTTATTGATTTCTCTTATTTTGCTCACTGGGTGTTACTTTAATGCTAGAAAAAAAAGTTTTTTCTTATCGTTATCTCCATTAAGAAGTAAATGATGCGGTTGTTATCTGTTTTTCATCACAATGCTATCTTTATTTTCTTATTCCTAACTTCACTATATGTTTCAGATTTAGCGATATTATCAGGGATCTCCCCAGCATTAAAGCAAGTGGGCGCAGCACCCACCTGAGATTTTGAAAATAGTCTTGCACCATCTGAAAATCCATTTGCACCCACTTGAAAATGAGAAAAATCATGAAAAATTGGCATATTTTGACCAATTTTTTTGTCTTAAATGTGAAAATGAGTTTTGCACCCACCTGAAAAAAACCTGGGGAGATCACTGACTATACTATTTTTAGCACTACTACGAGATTGAGTGTACATAGTGTACAATATGCACGGCTTCGATGTAAGTTTACATAACAATTTAATATTGCTTAATGCATGAATATTGGATTATAACTAGATAACAGCAATGCCAAGACATAGTATTTCCATCGAATATTTAATAAGTGTCAGACAAGATGGCTGGAAATCATTTCTCAAAATGGCCATGCACATACTCATCACAAAACATGAGACTGAGAAGAAATGAGATGCCTTGGTTTATCTTGATGATGCAGAATTAAAAAAATTGACAACTGAGAAAAAATCTTGCATTTTGATCCTGATTTTGATATCTCATCATTTGCCAAAGCTTATTGTTAAAAATGCAGTCTACGTGAAAAAGAATTGTGAAGTAGCCAGTTTTCAATGAGTACTTTTCATTATTGTAATGTTTTATTTTACTTAATGAAAACAAGATATTGTACATAGATAAAAGAGTACCAATTGCCATGTGGCATTACAGGTAGCTTTGTTTAAGTTTTCTATAACTACAGGGTGGGCCAAAAAATGCCACTTTTTTTCAAAATGCTATCACTTTTTTAATTTTTGATACAAAATCATAATTTGCATACCAAATGAAACTTGAGGTTGTTATCTAGCCAGGAACCATGAATTATACACTCTTACTTGAGTAAAATATGTCACCAGCGTCTCACTTAAACATGTGGTGTGCTGTGAAAAATAAGCATAATTTGCGAAATGTTCCTGAACTGATACGGCCTGATGATCGCCAAGTTAATAGCCCTGATGCAAACCCCAGTGAGTATAGGGTATGGGAAGGTCTCCAGGAGATTGTATGAAGGCACCCAATCTAGAAAATTGCTCAACTAAAGCTGACAATTAAGACAGGTTGAAAAAAACTTAGCTAACATTTCATTGATACTGCTATATCAGCAAGGCGACTAAAACCTAAAATATATCATCAATTAGGGTGGCGGACCAATTGAACTTCCCTTTTGCAAAATTTGGGGTATGTAGGTTGGAAAATAAAAAGGTTGTTGTGTCTTGAAAAAAAGTGGCTTTTTTTTGGCCCACCCTGTACATAATAATCTTTACTACTTAGACGCTAGAATTGTACTCCAAGTCTCTTGGTGACAGGGTTATCCTATTTTATGCTATCTCTTATCCTATTTCATAATTAGTAGCATAACAGTAGCTACTATAGGGTGACCCAAAATAGGGTTATAGTTATTCAACGATCTATTAACTGTAATTGTAAACCTACTTTTGGCAGAATTCAAAAGCAATGAATGTAATGTGACTGAACTTACTCTCTTCACCTGTTTACAGATCGCATTATTGATGGTTAAGTTGAACCTACCCTTATCACTATCCCTACCAAAACATAACTATGCTACACTGAATTCACAATTCCATATAATAGACACAAACCCTCCGAACCCCCTCTCCCTACAGCCCTGGTGAATGAACTTACTCTCTTCTCCTGTTTACAGATCGCATTATTGATGGTTAAGTTGAACCTACCCTTATCTCTATCCCTACCAAAACATAACTATGCAACACTGAATTCACAATTCTATACAGTTGTATATGGACAAGACCTTTCAAAGAGAAATTGTTTCTCAATGCCTTTGGGTGTACTTTAATCTCAGGCCCATAGCCAGGGGGTTGGTTTGGGGATTCACTCTTTCAAAATTAAATTTCAGTTTTCACCCTTTTGAGAACTTTTCAAGTGAATTTGGGCCAAAGTTGTCAACTGTGAACCCCCCCCCCTGGGATTTTTTTGAAAAGTGAACCCCCTTGGCAAAAGCTGGCTGTGGACCTGTATCTAGTACACTCTTTCGTTCTTTATATCTTATAACTGTTTTTAAAAGTATATCAGGAAGACAAGGCACCCTGACATGTTACTCAAGGGAAAGGTACATATTTGTGCCAGACAAAAACCACATACTTCTAAAGCGCCAATATACGAGGGTTGATCATAAAGTTCTCATTATATCCAACAAATTTCTTTATTTTTCAATACATTCTAATGAAATTTGTCACAGAATGTGCAGCATAGAATTCCTTATTAATCCAGTAAATAAAAAATACTTAGTATACAGAAATATTTGATTAATTAGGTTCAATCCCTTAATTTTTTTTTGAGCCCCAGATACCTTGATTTTTGGTTACTTTAACAACCATTTCTCATTAAACATTTCTGTTTAACCTAGATAATTTTGCTGGAATTATCCGGCATTCTATGCTGCAAATACTCTGAAAATCTCATATTAGGTTATATTGAAAATCAAAGAAATTTGAGAGATGTTATGATAACTTTATGATCAACCCTCGTATACTTATAAAATACTGTATTTTTAGAGGATTTATGAAGAAGGTTCTATGTAGTCACCATTATATCAGAAAATACATTTTAAACTTTGACCACATGCAAAGTTATGTATACCCATGAGCCGAGACATGTTGAGCATTTCAATATTGCAATTTTGTTCATTTTTGGGCACAGGCCAGAATCACCAAAAACCAAGTTTTGCCTAACCTACTAACATTAGACTTCTGATACTTAAAAGGTATAGCAATGCATTAATCATTCATGAATAGTAAAACAAGGCATTAAACATGCAAAATATCACCACCTACCATTTGTTACCTTTTTAACAGACGCTAACCACCGACCACCAAAACCATCCACATAATATGAGTATGTAATCACTTCCAGTGGTAACATAAAAATGAGAATATAAACAAACAAAAAAGTTGCCTAATTTTTCTCAGTACATTGCAAATGTAGTAAAGGAATGGTACCATTTGTGTTGATATGTTGACATACATATAACTTTGTTATCTCCCATCATCCTATAAAAAAGATGCAGTTTTTGTGATAACTTATGTTATTATATTTCAACATACCATCTAAAGCTCCTAACGTATCTTCTGTTGTTTTATTTTGTTTAAATGTATTTAATTAACAGACAAGTTTAATCCAGTACAACCTTTGATTTCATACGAGTCTTTGGCAATATAAGACATCACCTTTAAATTTAATTATCTTTAATGTGCTAATATTACTATTTACTTAGATAATAAACTTAGATTATACCTTACCAAATACAGCTGGTGTTGTATCACTATCTTCACAAGCAACATGAACTATTGAGCATAAAACATCTCAATGTATATATGATCATGGTAAATTATATTTTCTACACATCATTTTTTATACAGGTCACTTTTATTGATTTAATGTGTTTGGTTTATTATTTTACAGCTTACAGTAAGAAAGACTGATATAAGCAATAAAAATATTGATATAAGAAGTCCAGCTACTCCTTTACCCGATACTATGCTTAGCAGAGTTCACGTCCTCGTATTTTCCCCTATGCATACTTACAGCTTTCTGCATTAATTGGCAGATTTGCTCCAGTTATCTCCAAGGTAAAGATGTATATTTAAAGGCATGCATTATATCCAGGCACATTCATTTGTTTGATCACGTAGACTAGCTACTGTAAACTGGTTGAAAATTCTTTTTAAAGCCTCAATTCAAAAAGCTTTTAGAAAATCGTGCTTTTGAAAAAAAATTACTTTTTTAACCCAACCCTAAATGCTGTCTTTGCATAGACCAGAAAAAATAGTGATTGTTCCCTATTCATCATTCAAGTTTGCATTGCATTTTGCATTCATTGATTGTATAGGGTATAGACCTATAATCTTGTCTGGCTGTTTCTTACTTGCCAATATATACAAAGTATTAAGCCAATGTCATGTCATTGTGTTGTATGTCTATAATGTCAACCTATATGGCCTATATCGTTATTCAAGATAAACCTATAAAAGTAAAAATTCTATGAAAGAATCTGGTCTTGACTTGAAACATTTTTTTATTCATTTGATTTCAATAACTCAATCTCTTTCACTCCGACTTCTTACAATGACGGGTTGATGCCATGACAAAAAGTCTAGACTCAAATATGAAGAAATGGATTTCTTAAAGGAAAGAGTCTTTGGCTTAAGTTACTCCAAGAATACTATAAATATTCACAAAAATATCTTAATTGCCTTTTAGACAACCATCCCAAAAATAATATATTATCATTTAAAATTAGATTTAAAAGATTTTAGATTTTCCACAAAAATGGTAAAGAATAGAAAGCATCATTTGCAAAGTTTAGATTTGATTTACATGTAGACATACGTGACATTTTTGTATTCATCATACTTACCAGACTTGAACCCTAGCCTTAATGTGAGGTTGTATCTAAATTCAGCTTTTTCAATCCATTGTGCCCTCTTTTGATCGTCATTGGTCCCTTAAATGAATAGCAGAGAGTCAAAAGCTTATAAAATACATGTACATGAATAAAACACAGAAACACAGCAATTACATGTACATGGAGTAACACACATTTATAGCATTAAATGTCAAATTTTGAATGAAAGTCAGATTTAAATTTCTGAGAACTCTGCAAGATGATTTTGAATTTGAAACAAGTTGAAAAAATACCTTTTTTGACCTTGAGAAGACCATTGAAGGTCAAATCTTTTTTTGACCTTGAGAATGCCAAATCTAGTCAGATTTGAACTTTTGAGAACTTATACATGATTCTGAAAAATGGTCAATTTGAAGCAAGTTGAAAAAAGACCTTTTTGACCTTTGTTTGACCTTGAGTAGGTCATTGAAGGTCAAATCTTAGATGTAAAGTCAGATTGGAACTTCTGAAAACTTGTAGATGATTTGAAGTCAGTCTAAACAGTATTTGTTAAGTAATTGGAAGTTTTAAGAATTTGTTACAGACGCCAACTGCCACCAAACGCAGAAAACACGGACAGAAGAAATTTTAATCTGACCAATAATTTACCAAAAAATACTCAAGTATTCCCATTTTACAACCAAGAAAAATCCAGTCAAAATACAGCAAAATCACTTCCAAGTAAATGCCTACTTGCATGTATAGTGAATGTTTTTTTCTCTGATAAAAATGATAACTATGAACAGGTTTCACTGTACAACTATGCCATTAGGTATATTTAAATAGGTTAACAAGGTTACATTAATCAAGTGTTTTGCCTAAAAGCACATTATCATGTAATGTTGCCATAACAACAACAACAACTTTTTGGGCTCACCAATTTAAGTTTGCCTCTTGCTAGATCCCAGCCAGCCACTCATCTGATTTGGACATTTGGGTAAAATTGATATAGAACAATTTCAAAATTATTGAATAATACAATTAATGTTACACGTGTACATTTTTTGTATGCACAGTCTCATCTCATGAATGACAAGAAACATGATGCTGCTGTACAATGTTAGTTCTTCTGGATTATATCAATTAATGTCCATACTATATGCTGTCCTGATTGTGAAGCAGTTTGCTAGATAACATATCAATGACTTACGACTTATCTTAACACATTTAACACAATACATATGATTGCGAAGTACATAAATATTGTAATTGATAAGAATTATGACTGATGATACTGTGTACCACCCCCCCACCCCCAGGGCGCTACTTAGACCCATCAGTTACAATTGCTATCACAGTCTTGAGGCAAGTCTGACTACAATTGATGCATAACAAAATCCAGTGATCTCCCTTGCATTAAAGCAAGTGGGATTTGAGATTTGAGAAAAGCAGGCTTGCACCCATCTGAAAATCCATTTGCACCCACTTGAAAATGAGAAAAATTTTGATAATATGCAATATAATATGTCAAGTATATTTGAGATCAAGTATAAGTTATGACAGGTGGAAGCAAGTGTAAAATATGACAATTAGAAGCAAGTTTTAGGTATGACAGGTAGAAGCAAGTTTTAGGTATGGCAATTGAAAGCAAGTTCTAGGTATGACAGGTAGAAACAAGTTTAAGGTATGATAAGTAGAAGCAAGTTTTAGGTATGACAGGGGGAAGCAAGTTTTAGGTATGGCAGGTGGAAGCAAGTGTAAGATATGACAATTGGAAGCAAGTGTTAGGTATGACAGATGGAAGCAAGTTTTAGGTATGACAGGTAGACATAAGTTTTAGGAATGATAGGTGGAAGCAAGTTTTAGGTATGACAGGTGGAAACAAGTGTAAGATATGACAATTGGAAGCAAGTTTTAGGTATGATAGGTGAAAGCAAGTGTAAGATATGACAGGTAGAAGCAAGTGTAAGATATGGTAGATGGAAGTTTTAGGTATGACAGGTGGAAGCAAGTGTAAGATATGACAGGTGGGATTAAGTGTAAGATATAACAATGGGAAGCAAATTTTAGGTATGACAGGTGGAAGCAAGTGTAAGATGTGACAGGTGGAAGCAAGTGAAAGATATGACAATTGGTTGCAAGTTTTAGGTATGATAGGTGAAAGCAAGTGTAAGATATGACAGGTTGAAGCAAGTGTAAGATATGACAGGTGAAAAGCAAGTTTTAGGTATGACAGGTGAAAGCAAGTGTAAGATATGACAAGTTGGAGCAAGTGTAAGATGTGACAATTGGAAGCAAGTTTTAGGTATGACAGGTGGAAGCAAGTGTAAGATATGACAGGTGGAAGTTAGTGTAAGATATGACAATTGGAAACAAGTTTTAGGTTTGACAGATGCATGGCAAGTTTTATGTATGACAGGTGGAAGCAAGTTTAAAATATGACAGGTAAAAGCGGGGGTGGAAGCAAGTTAAGGTATGACAAGTGGAAGGAAGTGGAAGATATGACAGATGGAAGCAGGTTTTAGGTATGACAGGAATGAAGTGGAAGATATAACAGGTGGAAGCAAGTGTAAGATACAGTGTATGACAATTGGAAGCAAGTTTTAGGTATGGCAGATGGAAGCAAGTGTAAGATATTACAGGTAGACACAAGTATAAGATATGACAATTGGAAGCAAGTTTTGAATGACAGGTAGAAGCAAGTGTAAGACATGACGAGTGATACCAAGCGTCCGTTTTTTTGCTGTATCAGCAATCACTTTTTTGAAGTTTTTCTACAGATTTATTTTTGCTTGACAATAATCAGGTAAAGCGTGACCCATTTTGTCACACAAAAATAACTGGCGTGACTTCAAATTTTCCAGCAAATGTGTGACAAATACGCAAATTGCGGGACAGTTGGACAGCCTGAGGAAGCGATCTTACTGAATCCTTCTCCTATTATCAGATTATATTAGTAAGATGTAATCTTGGAAAATATCCAACTGACCAATGTCACAGGAACAGTGAGTATAGTTGTCCTGCCCCCCCCCCCCCCAACTTCCAAATCTAAACCACAATGTGTTCCAGTTTGGTGCAACTCTACTCTCTGTTTTTTTACACAATCAAAGTATCATTCTACATAAACAGTATATGACTAATTTGTTACTTACTTTCTTCCAAACGAATCCTTGCACCTTGCTCTCATAAATGTTGAAATCTAGGATGAAGAAACCTAGGCGAAATGATAAAATCAAACGTCCAGCTTTCCCGGGAAATAAAGGGGCGGGGCATTGTAGAAAGTGGCGACGTAAAACATGAAAATATTGAAGTCAAGATCTCAAAAACTGAGGACAAAAGACTTGAAGTGCGATTAAATTGATAAATCTATGTTTTACTGAACAGATCATTGTTTATTTATGATGATTTGCCTTTATTTCTTCTTATTGAAGTTGGATCATTTAACCTCAAATTGACAAATGGCAACTTCCGGCAGGTAACTTTTTTCTAAATTTTTTATACTTATGTCTTTTAAGCTGATTTTCTTCTGTCTTATTGTACCAATTAGATCGTGAATCTGAATATATTATCTAGGTTAAAATTAGAGACGATTAGTAGTAAAAGTATAACGTTTATATCTTGAAAACATTGTTTACAACGATATCAAAAATATTATTTTTGGCGAGCGTTTGTTTTGTTTTGATAGCAATGATATGTTCAAAGTTTAAGTGTTTAACCATAATATAATGCTCTGCTGCTGGGCCATTGAGCCTTAGTCACTAGTCACATCTAGTGTTGTTACTCATCCAATGGATAATATCTATGTCTTTGCTCTGTCGTAGAAAAATAGTTTATTCCAGTCAGATATATTCTCAGCTCAGTCAATCTGCTTATGTTACTGGATTAATCAGGTGTGCCTTTGATGTTCTTTTCAGTCAACATGGAACACAACTATACTTCACAATTCTCGAAACCCAATGGCCGATTGTTTATGGACCCGAGTATAACATAGGATTCATGGGCTTCGAAAAACTACATCCATTTGATGCTGGAAAATGGGGAAGAGTCTATGCATTTTTAAAAGGTGATGGATAAATTATAGTACTATGTAATATTCTTTTCATACTAAACAATATGGAAACAGTAAATGATTTTGTAACTGATGTGTTCTATCCAGAGGGTCATAGGATACACATTTTAACATTTTGACGAGCTTAGGGACAGACATTTGTTTTTCTTGAGTATAAGTACAATTTTTTATGTTACTTTCTCTAGCCCTTTGTCATGTTATTTGTGATTTCTGTCAATTTTTAGAAAGTGGAATGATAAGAGATGACACTACAGTTCGGCCACGAGAAGCATCTCAAGAAGACCTTCTTGTCGTACATTCTAAACAGTATATCGACAGTCTTAGGGTATGTACATATACACAACAAACTACATTAACATCAACTATCTATTGTTTTAATACCACCAATCCACAAGGAACTCTATGTATACTTTTCAGTGTTCTTTAGCATAAAGACTTCGCCTGTCATTGCCTTAGTATTTTTAATGGATTTAATAAGTAATCTTTTTAATGGATTTATAAGTAATCCATTTTCATTTGATACCTAAGACAGCCCAACAGGCTTGCTTCAAGGGAGCTTATAACATTTAGTCAGTTGCAACAATATTCATTTGAGATTAGATATTATGAAACAATATTGCAGCAAATAGGTATATGATTGTATATCAATTAATAATAGGTCTCGATCTATATGTAAGTATATGGTCTAATATGTTATTGATAAATTGTATACCATACATTTGGCAGATGGTGTTTGCTAATCTGTAATTACTATATGACAAATGTAATTGGCATAATCAGTTTATCTTGTAAATGTTACATTATACAGTATTATAATGGTTTCTTTATACATTATATATACTGGAGGCCATTTCTCGAAAATTATCGTTATTATCAAATCATTAATAGCGAATCGTGGATTCGTTTCTATGGACACCACATCATTAATTGAATAACGAGACCCCCAATCGTACTTGCAAAATCAATCATGGATATCGAATAAATCTTTAAAAATCATGACATCATCGCGAATCGTTAACTTTCGAGAAACTGTAAAATCGTTATTTACAATTGAATTACAATTTCGTTAATAACGAAACTTTCGAGAAAAGGCCTCCTGGCTCATTAGAAAGATGACAACATGCAGGCCCGTAGCCAGGATTTGCCAAGGGGGGGGGTTCAGTTTTCAAAAATTTCCAGGGGGGGTTCACATTTGACAAGTTTGGCCCAAATATGGCTAAAATCACTTGAGAAGTGCTCAAAATGGTGAAAAACTGCATGATTGTGAAAGAATTTTTTGCCAGGGGGGGGGGGGGGGGGTCGTCCGAACCCTGCGAACCCCCCCTGGCTACGGGCCTGCCATGGTTTGTCTAAAAATGTTCAGATTTAGGCAAATTGTACTGCCATCTTTCTTTTAATCTTCAAAACAGCAGTATAACTTTTAAAGTTTTGCGATAAATCCAGATACATACAGTGTATGATTTTCTTGATATGATTTTAAAACCATTTCAGTCTATCTACTTATTTGTTTGCCTTGATATAAAGGATATTGTATATTCATCGTTAATGAAAATTAAATTATAAAACCATATAATCCCAATTTACTGGTACTACACACTTAATTACGCTGTATCTGTTTTGGTAATGGAAAGTTTGATTCGATTTTTCTTTGATTTCTTAAGATATAGCATAAATCTTCCCAATCTTTTTGGCACAAACATAGATTCTTTTCGGTAAATAGTTTGAAGAGTGCAGTAACAGTGAATTTTTTAAAATCCAAAATGACCTAAGATATTCTGCATCTTGAGTCCACCTTTAAGTTGTATAAACAAATACTTTTAAAATTTCTGAGTTGATATCACTACAAAAGATCAAATAATGAAACTGAAATAAGAAAATGAGCCACTTTAAATAAACAATATATACATGTACTTAAAACATTTATATGTATTTATTTTCAACATTTTATCTATATCCTTAAACTATCTATACATGCAACTAATACACTGTTTTAAAATCATGTTTTTATATATTTCATGTTTTTCATATATGTTTCTTTGGAAATGGGTGTATGTTAAATTCCTGTGCTACCATTGTCACAAAAACACAGCGAAGTCTAGAGTTAAAACTTTAAAACCTAGTCGTTTTGTCTTTATGCCAAAAAGTCATTCTCTTGGGTTGGCAGAACCTTAACATCAACTTGAAATGGCATTCATCATAGGTTTTACTGTGTTTTTGTGTTCTGACATTTTATGTCCCCACCACAGGATATATATTTATCGTATGATCTGTGAAATGAAGCCTTCTGATTCGTCAGTTCTTGTGCTGTACCAATCTGTATTGCTGCTGAGATTGTCCTCATTGATCATCTCCGTCACAATACAAAAAATACTGGTACGGAGGGGACATTCTCAGTATCAATACAGAGGATCACACGATAAAAACGTTATAGAATGATTTGAAGTGCAATACAGGATATATTCTGCTCTCGATATTCTGTATTGGCACTCGACTCCGTCTCGTTCCAGTACGGAATTTCTCGAGCAAATATGTCCTGTATTGCACTTCAAACCATTCAATAACTTATAGTATTGTTATGCAAATTGTCTGAAAACAACATCTTACTGGCCTCAAATTCACATATCATTTGGAAATGAGATTTTATTGATCTATCCATTAATCTACATGACAGTCTCTCATTTATGCAGTGTTTGTCTTTAAAATATCCAAGATATCCAGAAACTGAACTTTACCTTCAATAAATTGTTCAGGAGCCCCTTTGCGGGACATTTCATGATATGTACATTTTTATTTTATACACAATTACATGTAGGTAGAAAAAAAAGTGACGTCTTATTTGTATTTTGTTTCTAGCTGTCCAGTTTTATAGAAGGGATAAATGAGGTGTGTTTGGAGTCCATAATCTCCTTGCTGGTTATTCACGTCTTTCATAGAACATTTGTTCTCTCTCATCAAATACATAATAAGCATGGTGTTGTACATGTTATTTAATGAATTTTACATACTGGAATTATTGATATGTCCAAACTAGCCATACGAATGTTTCATACGAAATATTACTTTTTATTCCATGATGGTGAAATTCCCTGCAATCTGATTGGTCCACGTGACTTAAATATATTCTGTATTTACACGCACTTTCCAGTGTCAATGACGTCAGCGTTGGGATACGGTCCAGTATCCCAACGCCCCAGATTTCCATCCAGGATATGACTGTTACTGAAAAAAATCAATGGCGATTACTTTACACCAACGCATACTTATCTTTGAATTTTGCTATAAATATCTGATTCAAATATCAGAAACGTATACTGTGATCACCACAATCAATAATTTTAAGATAAAACACGCAAACAAAAAGCAAACAACAAGGCCATAAAGATTTTGAAGGAATATCGATTAAAAATCTCTGAGGTGAGAAGGTTGATCTGTTTCTCCGGCCCCGAGCCAACGGACTTGATTTAGGCGAGTTTCATATGGGTAATCATGGAATAAAATCGTTATTCAATGATTTCTTGTGAAATACAGAAAATATTCTTCCCTTGAACGTCTGTATTTCACTCTGCTAGCGCATCGTGAAATACGACCTTCTCGGGAAGAATATTTTCTGTATTTCACTCGAATCATTGAATAACTTATAGTATCCATTTCATAATCCAGTGCGTTCTTCACCATGTTCAATTCACTTAGTAAAGCTGTTTCATACTGATATTTTTTTGTATGTGTAACGTAAATGTGTTTTTTTTGTATTTGATGGGAGAGAATATATTTTCCATAAACTGCTTTAGTGTAACCAAATAATATGGCTTGCTTTGGTGCATTGTTGTTAACGTCCTCACACTTTAGCTTGTGAATATAGCACCTGCTTACACCTGTTTGTACCCAACACCCTAAGAATGTAAATGCACAAATCATGTGAATATTTGTCTCATCACAAAGTTTTCATTTCATTCAGTTTTCAACTTAACAAGAATGAATACTGTGTGCATGTTTTTTTTGAAGATGTCAATATTACCAAAAATCAACTTGTATCGTTACTACAATTTTTTTTAATAACCAATAAGAATTTCCAGCAATTTTTCAAAATCTCGTCCATTACCCATTTTTAGTTGAAAGCATTGTACCAATTTCTCTCTTTGCAGTAGACCTTTCCAATAAACCATGTTCTCTTTTGCTTCTGTTATACTTGCCCGGGTATACTTGTTACTAAACACAATGTTTAGTTGTAAAGTCTGACCAATTGAAAAAAGCTTTGGAAATGTTAAATAGATGGCTCTCATTTTTAAAGCTTTCACATCTTGTAGTATGGCCCAATTTACCAACCCTCAAATTTTTCAATCATGTATGAGCTTAAGTCTATCCAATCTAACATCGAATTTGTACATGTATTGCCTTGGATTTTACCAAGGAACAAGTCATACTGACTAGTTGAATACTTTAGCTCAAGTGAAATTGATGTTGTCTTATGGATTTTAGTTAGTTGTCACTAGTAATCTGATGTTGTCTTCTTTATACCATTAACATAGGTTTTCTAGGTAGCCTGTTATAGCCTAAGTAAGAAGTATTTTTCTAATACAAACAGTATCATCGACTTATTGTTAGAACAAAATAACAACTAAAAGTTAAAATATAAATAATTCCATTTATTTATGAATTTAGTACTGCATTCAATTTTCTATTTTAATGAGATTTTTTGCAACTCTTGTAACCATGCCACTTAAAACATTCCAATTCATCATGCACTCTGCTTTGCATCACAGTATTTCATCTTTAAATTGTTTATTTATTTCCATATAATAGCTAACATGTCCAAAATATAAGATCTGTGTCTTCAAATGATTACCACTTTGTAGAATAATAAAGTATGCTATGATATATAATGCTTTTCTCTATTGGGCTCCAAACACATGTTGATGATGAAACACCTGATACAGGTGTTTATTTATGAGGTCAAAAAATTGATCAACATCAGAAAATGTAAATGAGCTATATTCTGGAGTGGATGTCAAATCCCATTTAATTGTATTTTGTAACTTTGTCTTGATCTAATGCAGTCAGTTACTTCCATCCATGAAAATAATCAGTGAACATTTTTGTTTTGTTTTGAGGAGGGAGGGTTGGGGACTGATTACATTATAGACATTACATTTTGTGATGTTGATTTATTGACCCGTCCTTTAAATATATAGTAGTTTTTCTCATTTACCCATAATGCATCTGTTTCAGTGGAGCGTAAATGTTGCGTCAATAACAGAGGTACCTCCTGTAGCTCTGCTGCCGAATTTTATCGTCCAAAAGAAAGTGCTTCGCCCATTCAGATTTCAGACTGGAGGAACAATATTAGTAAGTATTTTTCATTTCATTAGTTTAAGTACTGTTTATTTTGACATATCATTATGGTCTCCATTTTTTGATACAGTGGATGGTATCCGGTGTTCAGCGACCGGAACAAATGGCAGGTGGTAACATTTTGCATGTTAATGCCTTGTTTTTCACGAATCTTACATTATGATTTCCTGTCTAAATGATGTTCAGTTGTTATGATTTTCAATATACAGTATATACATAAGATGAGAAGCCTTCCTCTGTTCACAAAAAAAGGAATTCAAATACTCGCCCATGCGTCTCACCTCATCAAAGTCCTGCAATCCCCAATCTTTTTCCAGGTCTATTACCTTCAAGACCCAATTATATATTACAGACAATTTTTGTTAAGTGGAGTTTTATTTTATATATTTATTTTTTATTTTATGTTTATACACTGTATATATCTTGGTGACAGTCATAAGACATCACAACAATTGATATACAAGAGATTCAACAAGAGATAATACTTGTGAGTCATCATTCTATGAAAAATGAAAATGATGCGTACAATTATTCAAAAAACCTTAAAAGTGATATAGACTTAAAAAGTAAAATGTGACGCTTACTTTTTCCTTAAAAGAACTTGTATAATGACTCCTATTTGAAACCCTCATCTTAATTTTCCAGTTGATGGTGAGTTATAAATTGATACTTTTTATGTGTTCCAATGTTAGTGATATATTACCTAATACACATTAAGTGTTACTAAACATGACGCGTGATAAATGAAGTAATGGATTACGTTGAAATTGGATATACAAATTATTATGCAGTCCATAAGTTTACAAAAATATATAAAAATATAAAAAGTCACATTCATTTTGAAATTCAAAGGTTAGCCTTTAAGGTCATAAAGTAAGGACCTTACATATTATACAGGGTGTACATCAAGTCTCTATACAATTACAATACACCATCTATGTAAAGTTTATTAAACAATACATTAAAGACACCCTGTATATCTTAGTAGTATCTGAGGCCATATCAACTTTACATAACACTGGTATTAATTTGGAAGATAGCTAAATGCAACTAATTGTGAAGAATAATAAACAGCAAGAAAAACTATATGCACATTCTAAAACAGCACACATACAATAACACCAATAAACAATATAAAAGTTATACAACTTGAATGAATTAGTAAAATAAAATAACTATGAATTGCATAACAACAAACAAACTATTTGGTGCCAAAATGAGCTGTCAGATAATATCTCATATCAGTTGGATATAATTTTAATAGCGGATATTTTTTATTTATTTTTTAATATAAAAAATAGTTTATATATAAGAAGAGTATTTTTGCTATATACCCTATTTTGAAATCATTGTGCCATTTAGAAATCATTTGATAAAAAATTGAATTTGAATTTTAAAAATTCATAGTAAAGTTACATACAACTTTGCGATATGTTTAATAATTTAAAAGCCATTAGAAATGATCTTTGTAAAATAGCTTTGGCAGAGTTGATGTCTCAAGAGGGGTTACTGGGTGTGCCTTCCATGAGTACATGTAATAATTATGACTGTATATAACCCCAAGACGTATTGCTCACCTTCATGGGTGGTAAAACAAAGTACAATACAATCAGAGCAGTTAATTACCAGAGTTGACTGGCAATTGAATATTTCATTGGTCTATATATCATGACACACCACATATATCTAGATTATTCCTAATACAAAAGGTCTGTGCTCCAAATATATATACCACATACCTTATGTATATGGTGTAATCATAAGTCCTCCATGGTTTAATGCTGACATCACTGACTTATTTTAATCATGGGCTTTCAACAGAGTCTCTTGAAAGCCCATGTTTTAATGTTGCATTATACAGAGATTCTTAATAGTTCAGACACTTGTACAAGGAATCTATGCAATGCCTGAATGCACAAGATCCAAATGATCATGGAATATGTTTCAAGAATTTAAAGGAACTCCATTCATAAAGCCCATCAGTATTATAGGTGGAGTCTGTTATTGCTTGTTCTACTGTATTATTCTTTATTAGGGCTGTTCTAAACATCCATTACCTTAATCCTGTAATACCGCTTCATCTTCATGGGACATTTTATGATTCATTGTTCAGTCATGACATATTCCTGTTGGCTATTGCCTATGTTGGATTACTGTCCTTAGAGCATGTCATCATATACATGTCATTAACAGTACTCTATGTTGTTGTATAATCATTTCCGTTTTCTTGCATAACATTTCATGATAAAGTATTTGAAGTTGTGTTACTTTGTTCTCACATTCAGTTTTTTTCTGAAATAGTATAAAATCCATGAATCATAAATTGTGTCTGATGTGATTTTAAGAATGATACTAACAATCTATATTTGTAACATATAAGCAGATTTAGGATTGTTCAACATTTATATGATCATGACTTTTAACAAGGGAATGGAGTACCTAGTCCTGGCTTTGTATGAAAAACCTCCTACCTCATACCCACCTACCCACATACGTGGGACATGATACAGTCTTTGAAGGGTTCAATTTTAAAGATCTTACTTTATTAAATCTTAGTTTATGATGAATTAAAGATGCATTTGTAAGGACCCTTGATAGCAAGTTGCTACTACATCCCAGCTGGGTTCGATTCCCACACGGGGCATCGAATTTAGCACACTTTCTTTCAATTTCTTTATCTGGCTTGTTAGACCTATGCTCGCGGTCGTTAGTTATTTATTCCCCTGGGGCGCCCTCGGGTCATTACACATTAAAATGCATCCATATGCCTTTATATATGGATCTGTCATCTGTCTAGTCATAAAATAAATCCGGAATTGTAGAAATGTTAATAATTTGAGCTATTTTGAGATTTAATAATCTTTAAAATTGAACCCTTCAGTGACTGTATCAATTGTTCCACGTAGGTGGGTATGAGGTAGGAGGTTTTTTATACAAAGCTCTTAGTCCTTAGTAATTAATTAGTCCTTTTATGGTTTGATGCAAAAGAAACAATAAATAGAATGATAACAGTTTTCTCCCTGGGAGTTTCACAATTCTGATTAAAGTTAGTTAAGATACTAATTTTTCTCATTTTCTTGTGGGGTTAATAGATTTTCAAGAAGCTTGTGTAAGCCTAAGTGAGTGAAGTGTCCTCTCATTTGGGAAATCTCTAAATAATACATACATATATTATATATATACTGTAGATCGTGGAGATAGTTTAAACTTACCTCTATGAGCATACACTTCCTCTAAGTGAAGAAATCGCATCTTCTAATGCATCAAAGTTGGCTATGAGACTAGTGTTTTCCCCAGTTGGAGAACTAGCAAGAGCACCTAGCTTATCAGCATCCACATTGGGACCCACCCCAATGGTTTTAATTGTGATTCCAGCATTCTTAGCACTGTTGGCTTGGTCCACCTCTTGTCCTTTACGCACTGTCGGGATGCCATCAGTGATGAGGTAAGCAAGATTTGGAACATCGCTACGATCACCATTTACTGGTGAAAACATAGATCTCATCAGCTCAAGGCCTCTTGCTGTGTTTGTGGCTCCTGGAGAAATTCAATTTTTATTATTCATTATTTTGATTTGTTTTAAGATTATACTCTATGTTTGAGGAGATTTTTTAGATATTGATGGTGATTTTTTCTAAATATAGAAATATCCACAAAAATAGGAATAAATTTATATTGTGCATATTGTATTTGTTTCTTCCATTCATTGTTTCCAAAAAGTATTTTTTCACTATACCCTGGTCCATGTAGTCTATCAGGCAAAATAAATATTTTGAAAACAATACCTTTTACATAGTCTACAGAACTGATGGCATTAAGTATATCACTGCGTCTGTTGTATGAGTTCAAGTGAAACATCACTTGCCCGCCATCTGAGAACCTTACAAGCCCAACACGATACTGGCCACTAGTAATATCAAAGTTATCTACCAATTGTTGAACAAAACGTGTAGATTTTTCAAAATCTTCTTGACCTGTAAATGGAAGACAAATGTCAGGATATGTTATACCCTTTAGATTTATTCTGCCGTTGATTATTTGTGAAATACAGATTTTGATAGCATCATAGAAGCAATCATTTATTACCATAGTACCCGGGACAGGTTGTATGATGCAGTCGTGTTTTTACCTGTCTGGGGTACTTCATACTCTTTATGAGTTTTCTTGGAATGAGTAACCCTCTGATGAGAATCAAAATTGATATCATATCAAAAATGAAAAATTGCTATGGTAAAAAGTCATGAATGTTTGCATTAAGAAATGTCTACTTGTAAAATATTCTTTACCTATACTACCAGAGCTATCCAATATGAATACAATGTCCCTGCGACCATCACAAGTGAGGGCACATGTGGGACCAGCTCTGCCTCTTGGGCATACACATTCAAAGTAGTTGAGACCATCATTACACTGGGCACCTCCTTGGCAAGGGTTGCTTGCACATTCTTGTTGATCTGAAAAAAGTCAATGATAAGTACCAGGCCCGTAGCCAGGATTTGCCAAGGGGGGGTTCAGTTTTCAAAAATTTCCAGGGGGGTTCACATTTGACAATTTTGTCCCAAATATGGCTAAAATCACTTGAGAAGTGCTCAAAATGGTGAAAAACTGCATGATTTTGAAATAATTTTTGGCCAGGGGGGGGGTTCGCCCGAACCCTGCGAACCCCCCTGGCTATGGGCCTGAGTACAGAGAGAAGTTCTGAATTGTATATTATAAGATCACTCAATTAATATAGAGCTGTAGTTAGAAAAATGTTGGATTATTATAATGTTGCTTTGTGGATTATAGTTATTAGAGATTGACTGTTTTGTCTTAGGATGAATCAAACCTTCTTTAGTAACTTTGCCAAGTTTTTCTGAGTAAATATCATCCCTGTATACAAGAACTAATGTTCCAGTAATTTTTCATGCCTGACCCAAACAAAATTATTTTTGTCCTTCAATATTTTTCTGAATTAGGTCAGGTAATCTATCATATCTATATATTTTTTGTCTTTAAAAATGCTTTTACAAACTTACTGAAGCATGTTGGTGAAGTAAAGACTGTCTTGACACTGCCCAAATCAGAGAAACTATTCACAATACGGACATTGTTGCTATCAGGATCTGTTGCCATGCCACGTAGCTCATACGGCTTCATTTCGTGTCCAACTCCGATTGCCATAATGTGTACATTGTTATTACGCAACATACGAGCTTGAGGCTGGGTGTCATCCTCATTTACATTGGCTGCTCCATCTGTGATTAAAATGACAGCATCACGGGCGTTATCTCGAGCACCGTTGTTAGAGGTGAGCATAGCCAAGCGAATGAGCTGTAACGCATCTGCAATATTTGTGGCCCCACCTGTAAATAGCACATGAACAATGTAGAATATTTGTATGTACTAATATGATATTTGGTTTAATATAATAATCCTTGGTTTAACTATAGATTCCTAGCTTTGAGAGATTAGCCTACCCTTGTATGGGATTCTTTCAACTGCATTCATGGCTGATTTACGGTCAGTGTATGCATTCAGGTGGAATATAATACTACTGGTAGATGCGAATGTAAGAACCCCCACCCTTGTACCAGAGTTAGACACTGGCAGGTCTTGGATCACACTCATGACAAACTGTTTGAGAAGTTTGAAGTTATTCTCAAAGATTGACCCGGAGCTGTCAATAGCAAAGATCAAATCAACATTCTGTGTACATTGGCGTTCACAGTTCACTCCTGAGTACCCTTGGGGACATTCACATGTGTAGGAGTTGAGGTTATCAATACAAACACCACCATTCTGACAAGGCCCAGATTCACACTCATCCACATCTGGAAAAAGATGAAGTTGAAGAAAATGTGAGAGTCAGCTTGTTGAACACACCATGCACAGCAAATAAATTTACAGGCAACTATTTAAAGGCAGAACATGTATTGTAGTCGTTACCTGAATATGCTGTTGTTACCTGAATATTTGATTAGATATAAACCAGATCAAACACTTTTTATAATTTAAAGAGTTAAAATTAATAGTTGAAATTAGGTCTTGGAATTGGAAAGGGTGGATCCAGATATTTGGTGAAGTTTGTATTAGGTCTTTCCAATCCCTATAATGTACTTACTGTATACTGATTGCTTTTACTATATATGGTCCCAGGGGAAATTTTATTTGACATTTTAGGGATGATTATAGGAACAATTCAACTTACTGTTACAAATTGCATTGCTAAGACTAGTAACAATTGCAGGTAGATCCTCAAATGATTGTGCTTCAAATAGAAGGGATGTGTCTGAAGCCATTTGTAACAGCTCTGTGTCATCTGCACCATTACCAATGGCAACTGTTACAATGCTTACCCCATCTTGTCTATAACAGATTGTTCACTTTTTGATAAATTAATTAAATAAAAACTGTGTCCTTTTGGCAATATGGATTGGTTTAGCTACAGTATCATTCACTTAATTTGTGTGATTATGAGCAGTATATGTGCAGTTTTTCGGAATTGTTGCAGTTTTTCAGAATTTGAATTTTGACTCTGTTGACACATTAATGATGTACCCAAAGATCTTGACTAGATTTACTGAATCTTTTCCAGATGTCAGACTTCCATTATAATTTTGGACTCTTGTCCAATGCCTCCATGCATATGTTGTTGACATTTTATGCAACTCTCTGAATTAACGAGAAAATTATCAATTTTTATTTAAATTTTTCAGTATGACTTATCTTGAAGAAAGGCATTGAGCTAATGATACAGTGTTACATGAGTAGAATCTGTGCATTTAGCAAATCCTTTTCACAAGAGGTTCATAAGTGGGTTAATAGAAATAAAAATATTTCAAATTGTCTAAGCCCAAATCCCTAGCAATATTTTGATGCCAAATGAAATAACTTTGAATGAAACACCTTTGCACAATGACTAAAGTTTAAATAATTTGTCTTTTTCAAATTGTTAGATTTTAAAGAACAGTTGGTTTGACAGAGTATTTAATAATAAATTCAGGTGGTTATCTTGTAATATTTTTTTTTATCTCACCTGAGAAGGAGAGCCTCGGGGACAGTTTTCTCTTTTTGGACAGTTGACACACCATCAGTTAGCACAACAACAATATTGGGGAAATCAGCTCGATCACCATTCTCAGATGTGAACATTGTAGTTCTCACTGTGTTAAGCGCATGCCAAGTATGGGTTGCTCCATTTGAATATTGTATCTGTTGAACTGCTGCGATCAATGTGTTTTTTGTATCATAGTCATTAAGGTTAAACTCTATGCTGGCCATGTCATTGAAGGTTATCATACCAACCTTGTTAAGGTCGTCTCCAATATCGAGCTGTTCAATTAGAAGCTCAATGAACTGCAACATTTGTTTGAACTGGTCTTCTGTTATACTTCCTGAGCTGTCTACAGCTAAGACAATATCAGCCTTTCCATTACATGTAGGATCTTGAGCTGGACAAGCCCTTGTTATCAATGTGTCTTTGATTTTTTCAAGGTCAGAGTATGTCTTTACTGTAAATACATATGCCTGATCAGGGTCAGAAGCCATCACATTGAGGTCATTTATGGAAAGATCCTTTTCACCGATACCTATAGCGATAATAACAGCACCTGCCTCTTTGGCTCTTCTGGCTTCTATTTCTGTCTTGTCTTGTTTTACAGTTGATTTTCCATCTGTTATAATCATCATAAGGTTAATAGCGTCAGGTCTGTCTCCATTACTTTCTTGGAAGATAACATCATTGGCATAAGCTATTGCATCTGCATGGTTGGTAGCATTTGCTGTTACAGCAGGGAGGCTTGAGATAGCATTGCGTAGATCAATACGGTCCGGATATCTGTCAATGAAAGACATATTATGTTAGTGCATTTACAATTGTCCTAGCTCTTAAGCATATACCGAGTACTTCTTGTTTAGTTCACAATGTCAAGAATTTAAATATATCCTTATAGTATTAAGAAATCTTACAAAATGAAAAATCGACACAAAACAAAATTGAACATGTACTCTTTATTATTTAGTACATAAGCATCCTATTGATACAAAATAATTCCCCAGCTTGAGATGTTTTGCAAACAATAATCAAGTTACACATACAAATACACATGCACATACGTAAGTTAAAACTCTTACGTTGTTAGATTCCACTGTGGTCGGATGATACTGTTGAAAGTAACAAGTGCAATCTGCATGAAATCTGGATCAATCTTCAGTTCATTAACAACAGATGACATAAAGTCAAGTAGCAGTTGGTAATCCCTAAGGATAATACTGCCAGAGTTGTCAAGTAGGACACACATGTCATACTTAATGTCTTTGCAAGCTATAACAAGAAAGAACAAATATGAGTATAACATAACGATTAAAACTGTGTAACCTATGCAAACAGCCATTATCAATGTTCAATCAGAAACTCTTAAAGACACGCTGGCAGAACAAAACTGTTTTTTATATTGTAATATACTATTCCTGCAAGATATATATTCTGTTAGACATGTTACTTACGATCTTTGTAACATCCTTCTTTTGCGATGGTTCCAGCAATATTACCCAAATCTGTGAATTGTTTAACCTCAAAAACATGTTCTCTGTTTGGGGATGTAGCAATTGCATTAAGCTCTGCTAAGCCTTTTGGTCCAAACTCTGGACCAATACCAACACAGAATATGATAGTTCCATTTGCCTTGGCTTGTTCAGCTTCAGGAATAGGGTCACCTTCTTTGCTCATGCCATCAGTAACAAGAACAATAACATTTTGGACTCCCGCTCTATCACCATTAGAAGTTGTGAACATCTGGTTATTAGCAACTCTTATACCCTCTGCTGTATGGGTACTGCCGCCCTCTTTTGCCATGAAAAAAACAAAGTCATGTGCAAAAAGTAAGGTAAAAAATACAATGGTTAGAATCTTAAAGTACAATAATACCAGATATATAGACCCCTAATTTTGTTTAAGCTATGATCTGCCCTTTTAAATTTAGCTTCTTTAAGTCTCAATAATTACCTTGTGTTATTGCATCCAGCTCATTCAATAAGTTCCCCTTTGTAATAAACCTATTGAGATGAAACCAAATCTTTGTGCCCTGTGAGAAAGTCAGAATACCAACACGATCATGATCTACTGAGACATCTAAACGATTGATAACTGCCTTGACGAAATCTTTGAGAATAGTGAAATTGGCAGCTGTAATACTGGAGGAAGCATCAAGTAAGAAGATAAAGTCAGCCTTTCTGTCTTTACAACCTGAATTATAGTTAAATATACAGATGAATAAGGATTGAACCGTAGATAAATGTATAAATAAAGAACTGATTGGATTATAGACAAATATACAGATAAATACTGAATGAATTATAGACAAATGTACAAATAAATATTGAATGAATCATAGACAAATGTACAATGTACCTGTCCTGCTAGGTATAATTTAGTTTTTAAATGTAAAATGTTACTCTGATTATTGCTCTGGAACAATGTATATTAACTTGATGTATATTATCATCATTCATCTTAAGTCTTACCTGGATCAACACATGCAAAGGAGGCAACCCCATTGATCACAACTTCCAATGCAGAGTGATCAGTTAGCATCTTGATATGGTCAAAGTCAGTCGCAAGTATATTCAGCTCATTTTCATAGTCAATTGTGTCTCTCATGCCATCAAATCCTACTCCAATGGCAAACACTGCTATACCAGCATCCTTTACAACCGTGGCGCTAGCTTTGGTTGCAGTTGAATCATCTGATTGGCCATCAGTGATAATGATAGCAACATTTGGTGCAAAGGTACGGTCTCCATTGCTAGCAGTGAAGAAATCATTGACCAGTAAATCAAGTGCAAGATTTGTGTTTGTCCCTTGATTCATCTGCTGTATGTTATTAATAGCAGCTTGGACATCAGTCTTTGTGCTATATCTGTTAAGGTAAAAGTCAACTTGAGCAATTCCACTAAAGGAGATAACTCCAACACGGACTCTATCAGAGCTGATAGTAAGTGGACCAATGACGTTGATTATGAAGTCTTTAACCTTGTTGAAGTTTTCAGGTGTAATGCTACTACTAGAGTCAATGAGAAAAGCTACATCTGTTTGTGTGTCTGGACAAACTGAAATATAAAACAAATAACAAATGATCTATAGATTACATTAAGTCATATCAAATTTGATTTTGTTATTTCAAGTAATGAACAGTTAATCTAATATTGGTCAATTTAAAAGATTGGATTTAGTTAATAGTATAGTATTGTCTTGAGTCAAGACAGTCTAGTTTGTACACAGACTAATGTCTCATGTTTTGATACAGTTGTCAATAATAAAAATATATATACATATAAGCAATATGTTTGGTATGTAATACAAACACCACAAATGCTTAATTATAGTGGAATATCATATAAGTCAACTTACTTTCAGTTGTTACACATGCCCCTTGTGTGACTGCATCAGTTATTTCCCCAAGTTTGGTGAAGTCAGTGACTTCAAAGTAGTTATCAACTGGGTCACTTGCAAGTGGTTTGATCTTGGACACATCGAATTCGCTTGATTCCCTGATAGCAACAGCAAACATTAAAATGCCATCAGCCATTGCCTCTTGTGCTTTGGGTATGGGGTCACCAGTTTTAGCATTCCCATCTGTGATGACTATTCCTAAAAACAATAAATAATTCAGAGGTTATTTCTCAGTACAGTGAATTTTTTTTTATTTATATTTTTTGTAGAAAGCAAGCAATTGTCCCGTTTTTCACATTTTTACTAATAAGGCGCAATATGTCCTTTGAATTATCAGCCTGTTATTGTAGTTCCTTTCAAGTCATACTAATCTATTAAATCAACTGTTGATATTGATATCATCATGTTCATAAAAAATAATGAAATCAAATGAAGAAAAGGCATTTATACTAGATGGGATCCAGCAGGAAACCAAACATATAAATCATAGTTAAAATATTGGTAATTTGTTCTGGATGAAATTGACCCCTCCGTGGGGTAGTTAGGTTCCATAAAAGTATTCCTCAAAAGAATATCATACAGTATACATATACATGTACAAGTATTTAAGAATGTGTACCATGATACGTATACTAGAGAACGTACCAATGTTAGGTATACCAGCCCTGTCTGCATCTTCTGTTGAGAACATGTCCAACATCAACTGGATACCTTCCAAGGTTGCTGTAGATCCAAACACAAATGGGATTTTAGAAACTTCACTTTTCAATTCATCTTTTGTGGTGTAGTCATTAAGATCAAATCTTTTGACTGCTGTGCTTTCAAATGTCAGAGCTCCAACTCTTGTTGCTTCAGGCCCAATATCTAAATTCTACAAGAAAATGTTAAAACATAAACACATAAGCTTTAACTTTTAACATAAATGAAAACATAAATTTTGATTAAATATTAACTTTTGAATATAAACTGTAATAATAACTCAAAAATTAAGTTAGATAGAAAATAAACTCCTTGAAGGGTCACTGACAAATGTGCCCAAACAGGCAGCCAGCCACCATATGCTAGATATTGACTTTTGACCTTGACCCATAACCCCTGACCTTGGCCTCTGACTTTCATAGAATACCCTTTGACATCTAGGAGGAGAAGAAGAATCAATATGTTGTCATTAAAACATAAGAGACATTTATGTTATACTCCTCCTTTTCAAACGTTATATACTTACGTCAATAATGACATTGATGAAGTCCAAGATTAATTTAAAGTTATCTTCTCCAACTGATCCAGATGAGTCTATTACGAAAATGATATCTGCTTGACCTCTGCATTGTGTCGTAGTTTGAGATTGGGTCACCCCAAGGAGCCCACACAGGAGAATGAGCCTGACCAACATCCTAGAAATAAACATTGACTTTACAATTAGATTAAAATACAGTGTTTAATGTAAAGGATCTTGGGTCTTATGTGAAATAATAGCCAAGGGCCGAAAAAGGAAAAGCTCAATGCAAAAGTCTGATATTTGTTATCAGTATCAATGTTTTTCTAAAAGCAGACTCTCAATTTGGTCGAAGCAGTTTGTGATTGTTATCACGTTTTTTAAAGTTCATCTCATACAAATATCCTTTTGAGATCTTAAAGAAAGAATATTTTCTGTGACTGGACTATTTCATAACACTGTATTTTGTTTTGTATGATTTTAGATATCATTTTTATGTAATTTCCTAGGCCTTTTTGACAAATGTTCTTCAATATATTTGATTGAAATCAAATAGGAAGCTTGATCTTTCAGCATAATCATACGTGGACTTGTTCAATTGCAATGGCGTTATTAATTGGAGTGGCTGGAAGAACAGCTTATAGAAGTTCTTATTTTCAATGAACATAATGTTATTCAACTCAATATAACCTCTGACTGTATTATTGAATTATTGCATGTCATGTATATCCTACATACCTTATACTTTTTTACTTTCATTCATATAAATGGTCGCTTCAATATATACTTTTTTTATAAACATATCAGCTCAAAACACATCAATTTGATATGAATCTTTATATCAAAGGTCACACAATGTCAACTATTGGAACATACAGGTTCCCATCTCTTCCAAACTAGTACATCCTATAGAGCATATTTTTATATTTCTGTATGATTTTGGTAGGACTTAGGAAGATTGACATTAATTGATGGACCTGACTGGCAAGATAAATTTATTTTTATTTTGACAATATAAAATTTATTTGATAAAACATGAACACATTTAGCAACTTTGCTTTAAAACATTATAGGCCTAAGCCACTTGATTAATTGACTGCGCATGATCTACAGAAATGTATAATAGGGGTGTACTAAATTGACTAGATTTCAATACAAATGTAGTTTCATTCAGATTGAGTACAGATAAACTCAATTGTAGTAATTTCTATCACACTGTTTTAAAGTGGTATATTATCATCTTGTGCTAGAGCTGTGAATTTGTACAAATCTGATCCGTATAAATATATCCATAATAATGATGCATTGTGGTATTGGAATTTGTCCTGAATTTATCTTTAAGGATTACTCTTATCCTAATCTCAATCCACCTATTATAGGTAGATTAATTTTCACATAAAAATTATCCATTTTCCAATGTAATTCAGATAAATCTTGGGAACTCCCCAAAGGATCCTTAGGATCGAACCATGGGCTTTCAAAAGACTCTCACTTGATTCCCAACCAATCCACAAAATCCGAATCGGTAATTCAAAAATTATACTAGAAATAGAATTTATTTGGAAAAATTCTTGGATCTTTTTAATTCATGGCTCCTGCTGGATGAGCATATTTTCATCTCGTCATTAAAATTCTGGGAAAAACTGCTCACCTGTTTTACAGATGCAAGAAACGACAAGTGCCAAGATCTCATTAGGTTTTGGCATGCTGGGTAAACTACTTGGCAGCCATTTTGAATTTTTGATAAAAAAAAGTTGTGATATCTTTCACTGTGTGTCTTGTCCAATCACTTCAAAGGAGACAACCAGAAATGTAGAGTATACATGTATGTAGCTCTTTTAGCAAACTTTGAGCTACATTCCTCTTAGATATGCATATTGACCATTATGAAATAGGTAAATTCTTTAATGCCCCATACTTGTCAATGTGGATACTTTCAGTGAAATACTGTTCACAGGGATTGAGAGGAGGTTGGGGTCTATAGAAATTATAAATAGTGTCACTATAGTAGTTATATGAGATAATGGCATTCAAAAATACTAATTGAACTCTATTATACCAAAATATTTTTGATTTTTTGATACTTTACTATCTTATATACACTATTTGATGTCAGATTTGTTGATTGTGAACATAGCGTTCAGATAATCAATATACATATTTAAATACATAATTTATATAGATTGAACACAATTTTTCGTTAGAGCCATTTTTTGAAAAACTCTGTGACCAATATCTGTCACTCATAAGGATTAGTAATATAAGTTCTTTGATGGAAATGGTCCTTTATTTGAAAAAGAATATAAAACAAGTTTACTTAAAGTCAGTAAATGAAAACACAAATACCTCGTAAATGAATTATCGGTATTTTTTATGATTATTGACCAATACAGAAGTATGTTCTCTTATTTGATTTTTATTTACATATGACAAATTAAAGTGCAAAACACTTATAATTTCTAGACTTCTGATTGACAAAAAGCTTAGAATATAAAAGGCTGTCTTTCATTGAATTAAACAGGCCACATATTTGCGGTATAACCTTTAGAGGAAGTAGGTGTTTTTGCATTGGATAGTCTTTTATGTCTGAATTGAATATTTTTCTGCAGTTTTTTTGGTGGGGCTTTCTACAAGTGCTCATACTTTAAAAGGATTAGTGTAATATATGTACAGTAAAACATTAAGTGAACACATCCATCAGGTTAACACCGGTCCCAAGTGAACACCCTTCCTCCACATATACTATACTGACTATATAAATTACCCTCTCTGTAGTGAAAACCTACCAATAATGAACATTGTTTCTGAGCAAAAAATTTTCAATATACATGTACATACGCTTTACTATACTTGATTTACTGTAAATGTTGAGATCTGTACTTTATGCTTTTGGGCCTTATAAACCATATTCCTTATCTCAGTACAACCCCTAGCCTTGCCCAAGTCGGTCTCTTTTACTTATCTTGATTTCAAGATCAGATAATTAAAAAAAATACCGACTTGGGCAAGGCTATACAACCCCCTCCCCCATTTATTGGTATGCCATGTGCTATAAAGACTACAAATATGAAAGAGACTATAACTAGAAAAATGTGAATGAATGATAACATGATAAGAAAGTCCTACTTCTATATTGTACTATTGGTATTGTTATCTGACTGAATCAGGTCAACCCAGGTTCCTATACAGCATCATTAACTTTATCTTGACATGAATTTTTCATATGGGTTGCATTTTGAACCGGTATTTCAACTGCAGATGTAAATGGCAAAGATAAAACTTTTAAGCGATTTATAGACTATTAAAAATGTCGTGATGTACCAATATATTACCCTTAGGTGAATAAAAACTCTGTCATGGTCCAGCTTTTTTAAATATAATGGAAAGTTTTTGAAAGGAACCGGCTCTAACAACTCAAAACATACACAAAATTATATATCTTGTTTCAATTCAATTGCTAAATGAAAACGTTTGTAAAACTTGAATGAAAATATTGTAGTAAAACAGATTTGTCAATATAAAAAGCCCTCCAATTTTTTCTCATTTGAATATTCACTTTCTAATTTTGTAAACTAGATTAGGGTTGTTTATGCGTTTATCATCCCCCAAAAATGTTTATTTCTATTTTTAACCCATCTATCTATTATGTCCATGTATGGAGGTAATATTGTAATCACCAAATATTCCCTTATATGGACTTGGATACCTATGAGAGGAATGTTTTGGCATTTATTTGATAGAGAATTGAATTAAATATCTGTACTATAGCTGATACTCATCACATCTTTCTGTTTTCAATTTGTAATAATTCTGATTTAGTTGGACATATTCCTTAATCTGACATAATGGGACGGGTACACGTTTCTCAGTGGGATGATTATCATATATTAATTGCCCACATATTCACTGCTTACATTATATGCACCATATGCTATTGTCAGAACTCAGCAGGAGTTCCTTTCTAGAAGGCTGTAATGAATTGGCCCCGTACAGTTTTGCCAAAAAGTAAGGACCAATTAATAGAGAAAATAACCAATAGTTTTGGTCTTTCCCCATATGTATGTATTCTCTTCAAGAATTAGTGATTATCTCTTGATGAACATCTTCAAGAGAACACCTTTTACAAGAAAACACCTTTTTCATATCAGTGACATCCTATTGAGAGTACAATCTTCTTGGATGCCTTTATCAATGACTACATTCCTCAGATCACCTTAATTTTGTGAATGTGTTTTACTGGACTTTTTCTCTTGAACAATTTAATTTGGCCACATCCTTGAAACCCTTTTCAAGTAAACAGCTTTATTTGTTAAGCATACAGTCTTGTAGGATTTCATTCTGTGTTTTCATTAACTTAATTTGGTGAATACTTTTCTTTTATGAACATCATCAAATATTGATCACATCCTTTCTATTGTCATAGTAACTCAAGAAAACATTTATGTTTTTGATAAACACATGACTTGAATCCACTTCACTTGCTTGCCTATCTGCAATTAAAACATTTTCTGAAAAAGATTGGTTCTTGAGATAGCATTCGGATTATTTCTAGAATAGTGTTCAGTCAACTTCTTTCATAGTGTTCATTTTACTTTTTGAGAGTGTTCAGGTATCAAAAAAATCATTAAAAGTATTCAGTTTACTTCTTTAATAGTGTTCTATTTACTCCTATGTTATCATTCTCCGCTTTGTAACAAAGTAAAACCTGTATACAGTGAACATCCATGGAGCCACAAAAAGGTGTTCACTGAAGGTTGGTGTTCACTACAGAGAGGCTATTTCATACCGAAGTCATTGGAATATATGCTGAGAAAGGTCTTCACTAAAACAGGTTTAACATGTTCCAATTGATTCAGGTGACATGCAACTCAAATTGGGACAGTTTAGCCTTTTTTTAATACCTTCATTACATTTATATTTTACAATACATATACATGTTACATGTATGCACGTTTAAGTGAATGAATATATTCTACAAAAAAAATTAATGTCATTGCAAAGTCAACATTGGTTTATATTGGATGCGGAAATTACCTAAGCAACCTAACCTACCTAGCTAAATAAGTAATTTATCCTTAGATCGTGATTATGATAATCTTTTATTGACTGCATAATGTCATTACATGACCTGTTAATCAGATAATCATATAATTAAAGATATGTAATAAATGCTGAAAATGCTTTCACGATATTTATAATATTAAGTCATTTTGCTATTTTCTCCTTTTTAAGAGATTCTGAATACAGGTCTGAAAGTTAAGATGTATTTATATATATATACACTATTCAAAATGATTAAAGTTAAAAAGTCATCCCTACCTTTTCGCACTATTTATCTCATGTACTAAGCTCCTGAATTGTGAAGCCGGTTTAAGAGTGGATGCTAGATCTATATCGTGATGAGCAGGCCTCATTGGCCTCAAAAGGGGGGCCACCCATTTGAAAAGATCTTTTGTGCACTTTTTATATTGATAGCTATGTTTATGAAATCAGTGTTTGCTCTGATTTTTCAATACTACATGTATATGAAATTTGAATCAATAAAAATACTCCAGTAGATTTCTAAAAAGTCTTAAACTTGTATTAAGGTGAAATAATAATGGGGCATTGACCTTTTTTTGTAATAATCAGAATCAATGAATCAAAAGCTAGGTGTAAGAAAACAAATTATTTTTATATCACATAGTAGTTTAATATCCTGTTTGCCCTTTTTGCATCTTGGCTATTCCCCTGTACTGTACATGGAATAACAACTTATTATGTATCATATCGAGACTCTTAATAAAACTTTTATTGATATTGAGAGGCATGACCATGACATAGATTTAAGATGTTTTAACAGTTTTAAAAAGGTTATACCACTTAAGTCAGTGGAAGTCCCTGTTATAAAAGTGAATTCCGATAAATAAAAAACAATCATTTGAATTTCAGGTTCTACAAAGATTTACCTTTGGGAGCCTCATTGGGATGAGCCCAAAAAATGTTAACTTTTCAAAAGTATTGAGGAAACCAAGCACATCCCTTCTTTTGTTGTCACCCCCACACTGAATATTAGAATATTATTTGCATTAATACTTTATACCATCAGTGACCCTATCATCCTAGTATATTCAAATTCCTTTAAGAATCCTTTTTGGATTTTGAGTAATCCTCATAGAGGAAAATTGTGGTCATGGAAAAGTGATGTGAATACACAAAAATGCTTGTAAAAAACAGCATGCTTAATATTTCAATCAAATTCTATATATTATATGTTTGCATTGTAATTTTATTAAAGTGTCATGGGTTATATGATAAATACATGTATAAAACAATTACATCACAAATAAAATATCGCTAAAATATACAATTAACCCCAGACCATTAATGGCCTATAGAACACTGGGGACATTATCTAAACATGTGATGTTCCCTAATCTTCAGCATTTGGACACAGGGTGATTGCTAGGCTTTAGACTGAGGCACAGTACCTCATTTTAATATACCTTTACCTATTTTGCCTCAATTAAATATCTAGAAGAAACTGAAGCGTTTCCATTAAATGTAGATTTGAATGAACATCTTGGTATTTATGCAGAATTTGTGTAATTTTGATGAAAACTTAAGAAATCACACCCAAATCTACACAAGGCTAAACACCATGTCTAGTTAATGTAGGGTGTTTCATAAGGTATTAATAGAATTAAGTGTTCTATTACTATATGGTCTATTCATTTTTATGAAGGTTTAACCAGTAAATTGTGAAGCAAGTCATAAAATGTTTTTAAAAAAAGTCGTATTTTTAGTATGGTATAAAATCTGAATCATTTGGAGAAATTCTTATTCATTGCTATTGTGCTTTATACGGTGTTATAGCAGCAATGTTTAATGTCTATGTTATGTGTAGAGACATTTTCATGAATACAAAGAATAAAATGTCATCTAAACAGTGTGTCAGTCCATCATATAAATAAAGTCATCACGTTTAAAGAATATTCTTGAATAGTGAAAAGTGTCTCATATTGATGACAAATAATTTCTTTTAATAATAAAGTAACTTTTCATTGTAGACAGGTTGATATTCGTGTGAAGTGTTATGATATCATTTGGGCTGAACCATTTTATATGTAATATCGTGTGACTTACCTATGTATAATAAATAAATCATCTTTTATGCTTTTAATTGAAAAAAGACTGTAAATGTTTAAATTATTTAGATTTAGAGTTAGTAGATGGAGATTAGTATAAGTTCTGTAGAAATACCAGACTTTGCAGATTCTAAATATTTTATAAAGTGTCAAGATATGATTTTGGCATGATCGAACGCCTTCAAGAAATCTAGTAGGGACATCTTGCCCAAAGCTTTTTCTAACTGTCCTAATGATCTACTTTATCTTTATCATCATTAGTTTATTCTTATCTTTTTCAAAATACATGTCATGCTATGAAGATTATGTAATTTATGCTCTGTTGAGTTTTTTAGGCCTGCGGTTTGTGTGATCTTTTCAGATATGGAATGTTAGTGAATATGTTCATTTTAGTTGACCTTTTAACATTGAAAAATAAATGAAATTTGAAGAATGCAAATATATAAACCCAGCATCAATAGTATTAAACTTTATGCAAATATTTTCTTAAAGTAATCAAAATATACAGCTGTATTAAAAAATGGTATATTTGGGGATTAATAATGCTCTTGGTGAATGGGCCCTCTCTATCAGAGTCAAATTAAATATAAATGAAAATTTTATTGTAGTTTAAATAATGATCTATTAAACTTTAAAAACTGGTGCAACCTCCAACACTACAAATGACAAAGTGGAGCACAATATTACAAAAATACATGTATATAAACTGTTAACTTGCAAGATTTGAAATAGAAGGGGCCTACATGTTTGATGGCAAGTTTGTTAAGCTGCATAACATTTCTTTATATAGTAAAACCTGGGTACAGTGAACTCCTATGGAGCCACAAGAATGTGTTCACTATAGGTAGGTGTTCAGTACAGTTCACTCAGTGGAGAACGTGCTGAGAAGAGGTGTTCACTAGACACAGGTGTTCACAAGGCATGGGTGTTCACTAGAGAGAAGTGTTCACTGAAACAGGTTTTATTACATGTATGCAGATGAGCAAGTTTTGAGGAAAAATTTCTTAGAATCCTGAAACTTTCCTAAATTCTAGGGAAATGAAATCCTACAAATGTGGATGAAAATGAGACCATCACATTTATGTACAAATATTATCTTCAGTCTTTCTCTGCCTGCTTTGAAATAACCACAAATACTTGTACCTGCTCATAATTCAACAATCTCAGAAATGGCGGCACTTCAATGAGTCAAAAGAATAGGGGAAGAATATTTCAATAGGCCGTGGTTTTTGTTGGATATGAGGAAAATCTTTGGCATTCGATGTTTAATGCTATTTTTCTTTGTGTATGCTCAATAACAAGTTTCCAATAGTGTAGTCATCTTGCATACTCATCATCTTTGTTCACTCGGCTCCAATTGGTCGGATGAACGCACTGAAGACCGAGCGTGCGAATGTTGCATACTCATACAGAAAGAGTGGGGTCAATATACTCTCTTGCAAATTAAATAGAGCTCCTATAATACACTATGCTCCCTAAACATCATTCAAAATAAATCAAAATATCCTACTATGATTTTCTAATTCTTAACCGAGTGCAAACGGTTTTATTTACATATGAGAGAGTTTAATAGACTAGACATCCTTATGGATAAATAGCCATTTTTATAAATATATCAGATTCTTTAATGAATTTTAATCTGTGTACTGTTTTAGGTTTCAGGTTCTCAACTTGGTCCAACATCAGTTGCTTCAATGCTGTAAAGACTGTTAAACAGTTATCATATCTTGTCTGAATTTTGGATATTAATGTTTAAGTGATTGTCTTTTTATGACCTATCAACTGCACTCCCGTTTAATTTTGCGAATTTTGAGAAAACACGATTTCGCGGTTATTAATACCTGGAGTACAGTTAATCAATTTAAATTCAAATTATTGATTTAATTAAAATGTAATGTGCAATAAGTACATTATAAAAACAATAAGCCTATTGTTCATTTACCAGGCCATATTACAAGTACATATATATGTTGGAGAAACCTGAACAAGTGATCAGTTTCATATATGAAACATTTGAATAAACATGTCTGAAAAAATGAAATGTCTGGAGAAGTTAAGATTAGTTTCTTAATACATGTAGTGATAGAATCTTTTCTGCATGATATATGTCTCACTTCTTGTTGTAATCTGTTTTTTGACATTGGATGATATTATAACAGGGAGTTGTTTTTTGACATTGGATGATATTATAACAGGGAGTTGTTTTTTGACATTGGATGATATTATAACAGGGAGTTGTTTTTTGACATTGGATGATATTATAACAGGGAGTGGCAACCTCAACAGCACCTAAATTGAGACAGATCATTGGCACCATTTTCTTATTTCCTATTCTTCATCTTTTACAGTGCTCATACCCAATGCATGTGTTCTGATTGTATCTAAGACATTCCCCCCTTGCTTTTTATGTCATGATCATATTAAGACATGAACAATAAGACGTATAGCCATGTTATCACTGGACCTTTATTGTCTTGGATAATACCCATTTGCTGATTCTAGTGTAGATGGCTACATTCTTGGTTTACTAGACCCTGTCATTTCTCTAAGAAAAATCAAGACAAAGGGGGTGCGGTTATCGCCTGATGAGATGGCTAGACTCCTCTTTACCTGGTGTTCTTTTAGAGCAACTTTACCTTAGTGACCTGAACTGTCCTCCCCAGTCACCTTATATTCATTGCCTTTATGGGCCTTTTCTCCACATAAACAGATCTATAAAGTTTATTCTGACACTTTCTTTCATTCATCTCATGATTTTAATAAAAGAGAGGGACACTTGAGGTTACTAAAGTATGTGAATAATCTATTACTATCAACGATACAGTCGTTTTATTGCCAATATATACCAATGGATTACAGTTGTTTTCTTCACGTGTTAAACTTTCTCGCATTTTGCATTTGCTATGTCTCTTGGATATGCTTCTTCAATTATTTTGCGAAATCTGTCTCTTTCTTTTTCATACTTTTTTGTTCAAAAATGTTGAATTTGTTACATATTTATGAAAACTGTAAAAAAAAATTGAGGACCAAAGCATATTTTGATACTCTTCAGTTCAGTTGGTCAAAAAATATTTTCATGTGATATTTAGAAAAATTCATCTGGAAAAATGTTCAATTTATTAACCTTATTGAATCTGAAAAACAACAGACAACAACCAACTTATGAAGTTTGTAGATACTTGCTGGAATTACACATAGCGTTTTACAAAAGCTTCTTCAGTTTTAACCAGGCTTAAGAATTAGGTGTAATCACAATTGCAGTTTCACAAAAGTGCTTTTCTAAAACTCCCAAGAACCCTTGTCACTAGTAAACGGCATAAGTCTTTAGGCGTTTTAAGTGTGCAGTGTAATACCGATCGGTTTTTGTAAGACGCCTTACCCGGGTTTTTACTAGTTTTTAACATTTGCCCTAAACGAAATAAGACCTCATATCTAAATTGAAAAATGGATGATGGTCGCCAGGTCACATCGGAATCAAGTGTTATCTTCAGAGAATATGTACATATTTTTCTTTTACCTTTTTATTATGTTTTCTCATAATCAATAAATAATAGAAGATAAATAAAAAGTATGCAATGTCATGCATTTTTAATCAAATTATGGAAGATCAGTTTTGTCTTAGATGCAAAAAGAATACATTTACAGGAGATGTACACATACATGTATGCTGGATATTATCCATAACTACATCGTTAAAAGTGCACAAAAGGCGTTTTAGAAAAAACAGGTGTAATTCCAAAATATAATTCCTAAGACGCTTTAGAAATGTTGGTGTAATCAGAATGGCGATTTTGTAAAGCGCCTTCCACTAAAACATTTTAGCGGATTTTGTGGTGTAATTCCAGCAACTGTATACAAATGATGAAGACATATTAGACTAAACAGGGATCCTTTACTGAAGAATCATACGATTTCAGGTTTTCTTTTGGAAGGGCTGATTTATTGTGTCCTTTTTGTATTAAACATGTTTCCTCTTTATTTTTCTTTATTGTATTGGTTTTAATGGTCATGTTATTTTTCCTTATATCTACAGTTAAGGTCTCATCATTTAAGTCAATTAAATGTGCTGAAATATTTTAAGGATATCCGCAGACATGGTTCATAAACTTCTTTGAACTATGAAAGTGTCATCAGCACTATCATTAAGAAACTCCTGTTTAAAATGAAAAATGGTTTTGTATCAGACATGTGTCATTTTAATAGTTCCAGTTGAAAAATTGTGAACAAACCTTTTTTGGCACATTTTTTGAGAGATTATCTTGTATAGCCTAACATTATATGTTCTATCAATTTACCTTGGCTTATGAAACACTAAAATCACAAAAAAATGCGACCTTGACTTCTAAATGTGATAACACAACCACAATTAGGTTATGAAATATGTTTACCTGGACTCTCAATATGACATTTGAATATTGTCCTTTGACCTTAATTTTCTTTATGGGACATTGACCTTGGATGACCTTTTTATTATGCTCATATACCAGGGGTATTTAGTTTTCAGCAATTATCTCTTGGATAATAGATTAGACTGAGGGACCAACTTTTTACCTTGAAGCATATCCCTCACCACTTTTGAGCCTGCTGTCCCTCATGATAATTGTATCAATATTTGTGACCTATGATTTGAAAGTCCAGAAGATCGCCAGACAAACAGACAGATTGTTTAAGACTAAGATGTTGCATCATTTGAGTCAGATCATGTGATTTCTTCATAAAAAATGTATGCTCTTCAATATATTCCTTTTATGTATCATATGTTTTCAATGATGGCATAGGCTTTCAACTGTTACATATAGCAGTTTCAACCAAATGAAAATACATGTTCCATGTACAAAAGATGCATCCTCTATTTTAGATTTAAGATATCTGAGATTATTTTTAGTTGCCATCTGGGGTATATATTATGCTGAAAGTAAATGATTTACCTGCATTTATGTTTCATAATTCTATTTCCGCCTGTCTGGCCAGTGTTCATTTATGGTATTATGTCTGTCACTTCAGATTCATATCCTTGTTTTGATATTACTCCTAGACTGAATTCAATTTAATATGAATTTTTGCTTTAGTTGTAATATGGTAATTTGTTTTATCTGTTTGCACTATTTAATCCAGACATGTTTTATTAAATTTGCACAGAGGCGTGTTGACCAAAATATAAGCTTCTATCCTGTGGAATTCAAAACAGAAGAAAAGTAAATATTTGAAAAAATTGTTTTTTATGTCGTCTTGACAAACAGAAATCTCTCAAAAGGAATGGACAAACATTGGACATTAGATTGCATATGTCATCTGTAGAATATAGATGATATCAAAGGTATAGATCCCTAATATCACATCCCTTAAAGGCCCCATGTAAAGTTTAAACCACTTTGGCTTATATTGTAGTCTTACCCAATGTTATCAAAGTGTGATATGTGAAACTTTTTTTTTAAATTTCAAAAAGTGGTTTTTTATAGACTTTTTGTTCCAAAATTTGTGAATTTATTTAAAACCAACTTTTAGAGGTCACTCATATCTTCTTATTAGCCACAATTCATACCAATGCATAGCATTCATCCTCCCATGTTTTTTGCCGAAAAAATCAAGAAAATCGGTTGATAAACAAGCGAGAAATGAACTTATCAGTGCATGAAAATGGTTCTGAGAAAAATGCATTTCAAAATTTTAGTTCTCATAGAAACCAATGGTACAATGATATCTAAAACATAATTTATTCTTCCTTTCAACCTGGTTAGACAATCAACATTGTTTTTTATGAAAATCTAGCAGATTTAGAAAAGATTGACATCGAAAAAAAAAATTCAATTTTTTTCAAAAAGTTTTTGTTACCTTAGTGACATCACTAATGTTTCAAAATATTTTTGATAAGCTAAAACATTGAAGTGGCCCATTAAATATGACATTTTATTATTGAAATAGTGTGTCTTTTGTTCAATCTTTGCATTGGTGTTAAAAAGATAATCCTTTTTGAAATGCATTAAGAAATATTTGATGATTAAGAAATTTCAACTTTTTTTGAAAAATGGCGGGAAATTTGAATATTTGAGAAATGAAATGCTCACAACTTTTTTTTCAAAAAAATTTTTTTGTTCAAAAATCTCTAAAATCAATTTTGAAGTCCTGACAAATAGTAAATGAATGATAAAAAAATATTTTCAAACTTTAGACGGGGACTTTAAGATGCAATGGCCAATTGATATATAAATGTACACTTTGGAGGGTATTATTTAACATTTTTAAAAGTGACTTTCTTGACCATGCATCGTTTCTGATGACCTTTCTAAACCAATATTTGATGAGTGCACGGTCTGGTCATGATTTCTTAAGTATAACATCAGTATTTGTTTGTTCTATATTAAAGCAGATACTGTTCATATTGACCATCAACTTTATCAACATTAATATTTATTACGATTCCTTGTGGCTTATGTTCACTGCTCATGCGAAATGTTAATGATTGCTTTAAGAGATAAATTATGTCATAGCCAAAGATAAAGTGGAGATTGTTACATTTTGCTAATACGTCATTGTATAAATTACAAGAGACCTTTCGAAAATTACTACAATGTGGATTTGTTTCCGCTTTGTACCCATCAAGCGCAACAATCCGCCCGCCCATTCCACAAAAAATGATCATTCATACAGGTATGTTCTCCACTTTGAGATACAAACCAAGGGTAAAACCATGTCCCTCTCGGCTCATTTTTGTCAAAACTTTCAGGCAGTTTGCAAGAACGTCATAAAATGAACTGTATATTCTCATTGGCTTTTAGTTTTGCAGGTAATTGCGTCATTTAAAAAGCTACTTCTCTATGGGTTAGCGAACTCTTCATTCATAAATTAATTGTAGCATGTATAGTGGACTTTGCATGGGGGGTCTCATGCAAACTTTTGAATGGTGCATTATAACATGTATAAGCCTATTCTTTAATTGAAACAATTTTTCAAAAGGGACAAATAACTCATTCTATTCTGCCTAGAAAATACTACTATAAAATAAACTTTTTAATTCATATTTTTCAGAGACAGAAAATGTACACGATCAGTACACATACCTGTTTTTGAGATATGTGAATAAGAAATGTGTTTGCCTTATAATCATGGTACACTTGGTTCGTGGGATTTAATGCATAAATCACCCTATACCAAATATCATAACACAATCTATGACATTACATTGCATGAAGGTGATGGGATTTAACTCCAAGCATATAACAGTTGACTTTGGATAGTATTACAGATATATCGACATTGAATGTAATTACAAATTTGACAGAAACGATAAAAAGCTATACATATGTATAAAAGAAATTAAAAACCTGAAAGAGTGGAATGATTTATGTTAAAATGTTGATGTTTCTTCAAGCTATTTTTAAAAGCCTGTAATCAAAAGATAAATTATGAGTATAATGCTCTAGCCTAGCCAGGATGAGGCAGGCGAGGTGCTTGCCTCGTCACTTTTTTAACATCCTTTGAGAAATATTCATCTGTTAATGATAAGTTGTAAAGCAAATGTATAACTTTAATGATTTTTAATCCTAAATCATCAGTTTTTGATTCAATGGTGCACAATCTCATCACGTAATGGTTATCATTGTGTTCTTAACAGGTTCAGGAATATTTTTGTCTCATTGCTTTTTTCTTCCTGGTGACTTCACTGTAATGTGTAGTGTTACTTCTAAATACCAGTAGACAGCAGCAAGAGCTGAAGGCAAAAATTCGTTCATCAGCTACACCCCCCCCCCCTCTTCCTTTCCCCCTCCCTGGTATGGTAATATAGATCAGTATCAGTTATACACTTTTCTTGTTATTACCTTAAACTCAGATAATCATCATTATATATACACAGACATAAAAAATATCTAAGTTTGAAATAAAATTGTCTAATTGTGAGCAGCATAAATGCATTTGATACATAATCTTTGGTTCAGCTCTCACAATTTTCACTTAAATATTCACATAAAAATATGTTTTCTCAAAGTCTAAAATGATGTAAATTCCTGGTTTTTACCATTTGACTCAAAATGAGGCTGACATTCACTTTAACAGGATATTTTACCTGTTGGTGATTTATTCCTTGTTGATAATTAGAGGTTAAGAAAAATAACAAGCAAATAAGTTTTTCATTGTGGTTCCATCTATTAAACATGATATACAATAGACACATAAGATGGTTAAATTACATGTATATTGCTGCAATGCTTCCTAAAACATATATAGTTGATTGATCCTATGATGTATATTATATGAGGTTTATTGTTTTGTGTGTTTGCAGGCTGCCAAGATGGCTATAGACAGAGGTTGGGCCATTAACATTGGAGGCGGGTTCCACCATTGTTGCGGTGACAGGGGTGGGGGATTCTGTGCATACGCTGACATCACACTAGCTATTAAGTTCCTCTTTGAGAGAGTGCCAGGTGTGAATCGTGCAATGATTGTTGACCTTGATGCCCATCAGGTAGTTATCGAGTTGTGTTTTGATCACATCAGAAAAAAGTTACATTATAATTGTCATGTACTAGGTTGGCAGAGGGCATTGGCATCACTCTTATCTTGTTGGTGGATTTCCAGGCAAATTACTTGACGAATCGATTTGACATAAATTTATGGATTTGGTATGAAAATCTAGAAATTATTATTTTTTGGGCGATTGCTGAGTAGGGCAGTTATGTTTGAGCATGCCTTACTGTCTTTGTCTGTCCGCATGTATGTGGGTATCCCATATATCTTGACATCAAAATTCCAAAAACTATCTATTCAACTTGAAAGTTTGAAACATGCAAGAGCAGACTAGTGAAGAGAAGGCAAATTCTGGAGCTAAGGAGATGACAGACATAATTATGTCTCTTGCTAACCATCTTCGTTTGAATTTTAAGATTTTCTAAAACAGCTCTTGAGTATACATGTATTAAAAATTGAGATAGGACAATTCAATCTCGAATTTTTTGTAACATCGAAAGATTAAAACTGAGCTATGTCCATTTCGCTATGTATTTTCAATGGACACAAATTTATCTATTCATTTTTTCAAAAATAAATTCAAATCTCACTTTAAAAATGTAATACAATAAGTCCAAGTCACATGGTGTAATTCAAACAATTTGATTGGTTAAAATGGTACATAGGACAAAGTTAAATTGTATTTTTGAATTTTTTTATGGAGTTGGGACAATTTGACACTGAAAAGCAGGCTATTGAGAGGAGATAAAGGTAAGGGAATATCACAGGAAGAAAGAGGATGACTTAAATAGTGGAAATCTGTGAAAATCTCAATTTTTCAATAATGGCACTTGGGACATTATTATTCTCATACTACGATATTCTATACACATTTCTTTCTCTTAATGTGAAATAACAAGCTTTTTGTCATTTCGAATATGAAGGTCCCCAAGCCCTGTATACACTATAAATAATTTTTCAATCGTTTCAATCAGTTCAATTGTTTCAATGCTTGTATCATTTCCTATGTATCAATGCTTGCATCATTTCGATCATTTCAATCGTTTCAATCGATTTGCCTTTGAGTTTCGCTGTTTGTGCCTGTTTCGCCGTTTCAAGCGTTACAATCAAACAACCAATTCATGGAGAAATGGGCGAAAAGATTGAAAAGAAAAACGAACATGCATGTTTTTCGTTTCAAGCATTTCGCCAGGCTTTTCAAACGTTTCAATCATTTCAATCAATACGTCTCGAAAAATGTAATGACTGTTTCGCTGCTTTCGCCTGTTTTCACATTCTCTTTCATTTTAACCATTTCAAGCATTTCAGCCTTTTTGCCCCCCATTTCAAGCATTTCGCCTGCCAGTGTATACGCCCCTTTAGCCTTCAAAAAACTCATTCCATTAATGTTTGATGGCAAGAATCAATCATCACTTAGGTTCAGATTACTTTTTATCGTACATGTTTAAGTCAATAGGTTTCCCATAAAAGTATTGTTCAATCTAGCCAATTATTTTAAGTGCTGTCAAGGAAATGTTAACTTTCATGAGACTTATTTCATAGAGTTTATTAACTCTGATGGGATAAAGATAATTAAAAGTTGTTTTAGAATTCTTAGACTAACATATCTTTTGCAAGATTTCATTTTGTAGGAATCATGAAAATACTCGCACGCATAACAGTTATTATTTCATTTTTAATATGCTATCAACCTATAATAGCAATACAGGCAAAAGAAGCACATTTTAAATTAGTCGCTGAAAATCAGCGTGCGAATGATACTTCATACAAGAAAGGAATGGCAATGGGAAAACTAATATGCGGTATACATTGTTTGAAGTCATTTGGTTGCGCTTCGTTTGAATTTAACAAAATCCTGGAGGAATGCAATTTGTTTGAGCATATTGCAACTGAATTCCATCCAAGCCCGGGAACACTTTATTACAAACAGATATCAAATCAGTCTGCATCCATTGCCACAGTAACAGGAAATGCAACAGTAACAAGTTCAGCACCACCTATTGAGGCAACAATGATTGAAGAGATTACTGCACCCATTGCTGTTGTAACACCAAATGCCATGGTAACAAGTTTGGCACCAACTAGTGAGACAACTACGGGTGAAAAGATTGCTACAATAAATGCCACGGTGACAAGTTTGGCGCCAACTATTGAGGCAACTACGGGTGAAAAGATTGCTACACTAAATGCCACGGTAACAAGTTTTGCACCAACTATTGAGGCAACTACGAGTGAAAAGATTGCTACACTAAATGCCACGGTAACAAGTTTGGCGCCAACTATTGAAGCAACTACAGGTGAAAAGATTGCTACACTAAATGCCACGGTAACAAGTTTGGCACCAACAATTGAGACAACTATGAGTGAAGTGGTGACTGTAGCTCCCGAGACTGGATGCGCAATTGATGCAGCCTTTTTGTCAACTGTAACAAATAAGAGGGTGGTATTCTCACTAAGACAAGCAGAGATATACAGTGCGTTTGACTTAAACCCATTTGCTGGACTCCCAGAAGATGTTATTCCAATTGAGGAGTACTTATCAAATGGCACAGATATAATACAAATAAATGCTGCATTTGAATCTAACTCAATCCTACACCTGATTGTGGGTAAGTAAGCTTCAGTTGTGTCTACTTTGATAACCTCACAATATATGTAAAAAAGTTACGGCACACTTCATATGAATTTTGGAACCTCTCAGACTGCTTAAATTAAATAATTAATGTCTTGAATATTTCCAGATGATGGCAAAGATGTTGGATGTTCACTAGTATCAGGTTTCTGTGTACGTGCTGCTTGCTGTAATGGAACCAGTGTATCAGGGTCTCATTTGTGTGGCCAATCACCATTAGTGGTGTGTTGCCTGGGTAACATGGAAACAACTCCTTCGTATTGTACACAAGGTATTGATTGCTGAGATTTTACAATAAGTGTTAATTGGATGTCTATTAGAATTGTTGATTCAATATCTTCAATGGTTTTAAATGTTATTCTATTCAGAACTCCATTAGAAACTAATGAGATTGATGGAATAATATTGAAATTAGAAAAAAGTGAAAAAATTAAAACACACAGTGCCAAAGATACATGCACATATGACTGATAGTAAAGATGTAATAAAACCAATTAAGTAATTGTAGGCACAGTGTGTTTATGTATTTGTGAATCCCTCATTTAATTTCAGGCCAGGCAGTGGTGACCTATGAATATTCCTTTGATGGGTGGGTATATCAGGACTGGAGAAGATTAGAGGATGTGTTTGGCAGTTCAGTCAATGGATATCATATTCAAATGGCATGCCTTGTAGATGTGTATATGAACTTCATCGACTTGTACTATGATGACTTCAACAATCTGATATCAATTGATATGGATGGAATTGGGCATCCACAATTTATAAACCTTGGATATGGTGTTCCTGAGCCCTTTGCAGCTTGTTTAGAATTTGATACTGATTCTTTTTATTATTTGACAAGGAGAGGGAGGGTTTATGCATTTATAGGAGGGAATTATGTGCATGAATATGATAGAGAATGTTACATACCATGAAAGAAGGTAGAAACATAGAATTCAACTAAAAATCCAACTATTATTGTATTACCCATCTATCTCTGATCACTCTGATCTGGGGTCTCTAGACCCAGTGGACAGCGATGATGTGGTAGAATAGGACGAAAACAAATGTGACCATATACTTTTTTGTGATGTTCATGCATTAATTGCATTTTATTTTATTTTGCAATTATTTTGTGCATATTCAATATATAAATTATGTAGATAAGATATATTATATAATGTTTCTATACTTATTTATAACCTAATATGCACATGGTAATCATGTAAATGTACATTTTCTTGTCTTGTATATCTTACTAGATAAAATAAATAAAATGTAGCTTAAATAAGGGAGTTGCTATATACCTGAATAAATAGATATCACCACTTGTTTTTTATTTGTTTTTGTGAATTGATGATATTGAGTATGGGTTTGTACAGGAAATTACCAATCCTTGTGTTACATAAATTATTTCTCCCAAGGGATGATTTTAACCCAATCTAACCAGAGCATCATTCTGTGTGATATCTGTCCAATCCGTACTGGTTTATACACTGTTTTAAGATTCTACCTCATCTCATATGTTTATGTCACCATCAAGAATAGATGATTTGCTGTATCACGGGGTACCATCGAATAATTTTGGCAACGTACCGGAGAACGACATTTTACTAAGAAATGGCAATAATTTAGCACAATATATTTTTTAACTAGAGTTCTACTTTGATTTTGACAAAAGTAAGTATTCCATGCAATGGCTATTTCATTCATGAGTTTGTAGGAATTCTGTTGGAACCCAGTTCTGATCAAGTACGAAGTTATTGAAATCGGCGCAGTCGGACTTTATTCCGAAAGATGGTTTTTCGATTATAACTTTTTACAACATTTAAGTATAGACTTTTGAAAAAAGTACAGAATAGTCCTTATACTATTGAATGATTCTGTTATTTCTGATTTACACGACTCTGATTTGTTTAATTAAAAAAAGGTTTTAAAAATATTACTTAGGAACGTAACCGGAGCTGGGAACGTAACCGGAGCAGATCAGTTGAATTATATAATTTAAAAAAATAAAATATATGATTTAAAGCATATATATTAATAAATACGCATTCGAACAATCCCGTATGTTTTTAAATCAGTGTGCTTTAAATCATATATTTTAATTTTTTTGATTAAATAATTCAACTGATCTGCTCCGGTTACGTTCCCAGCTCCGGTTACGTTCCTAAGTAATATTTTTAAAACTTTTTTTTAATTAAACAAATCAGAGTCGTGTGAATCAGAAATAACAGAATTATTCAAAAGTATAAGGACTATTCTGTACTTTTTTCAAAAGTCTATACTTAAATGTTGTGAAAAGTTATAATCGAAAAACCATCTTTCGGAGTAAAGTCCGTCTGCGCCGATTTCAATAACTTCGTACTTGATCAGAACTGGGTTCCAACAGAATTCCTACAAACTCATGAATGAAATAGTTATTGCATGGAATACTTACTTTTGTCAAAATCAAAATAGAACTTTAGTTAAAAAATATATTGTGCTAAATTATTGCCATTTCTTAGTAAAATGTCGTTCTCCGGTACGTTGCCAAAATTATTCGATGGTACCCCGTGTGTATAGACAGATAAATACAATATACAGGATGTCAAATAAATATGTTCTCCCCATTGATTTCAAGAGTATGAAGTTTTGTGCATAAAAGTGCATCTAGTTCAGCTAGTCATCTGAAACTTCTTGTAGAGTTGCTCCATGAAGCCTAGTTTTAAGGTGCTAAAGTTAAAAGTTATGCAACATTTTGTGGATGTTAAAGTTGAGGGGAGAACATATTTATTTGACACCCTGTAGATGGCATAAGTGGTTTAAGCTTTTCATATTATGGATAAAACTGACGAAAGACACTCTACTTCTTGAAACATCAAATATAGATTTAGTACTATCTTGTTAACATGGGGATTGCATTTTAAACTTAGAATTTTGATCCTTTAAATTGTATCAATAATGATGATGTAAAAGATTAGATATCAAGAAGAATTAAGGTTGATTCCAATGGATTTTGATAGGAAAATCACATACTGGTACAACATTTTAAAAATTTCACTTGCTGTTAGCTACTTCCAATTCCTGATATATTCAAGCCGTGTCGAGTGCTTTCAAGATCCTCTGTGATTGGTGTAAACATTGTGTCACTTTATTGTTTTCTAAAAGATCTCACAATAAATCATTCATCTTTTATTTTTCTAGGGTAATGGACACGCAAGAGACTTCATGGATGACTCTCGGGTCTTCATAATGGATGTATATAATAGAGAAATCTACCCACACGATGGATTTGCTAAAAGTGAGAAATCTATTTATAGTTGGCCTAGGCCTCTTACTGTATTGTACAATATATACAGGGTGGGCCAAAAAAAACCAATACCCAACTTTAAATCAGACTGAAAATAGCTATGTTCAATATGATACATTGATTTATATATCATTTTAAAGGTAATCCATTTTCGAACAATTTGGTATATAACACTATGTCATGAAACCAATATTAAAGTTTAATGATGCTTATTTGCGAGGCCGGGGCGGTATTTAAGGTATTCAGATTTTAAGGAGAAAATAGTAAATCTGTGGAATAATGTTAATTTTTTATTTATAGAATATCATTTTGTTAGGTGAATAAATGCTTGTATATTTGCATATTGTGTGACTAAACTTATTGTTTATGAATTTTAGTGTTGTTTATTATCAATAAGTACTCAAAGGGGGTCTGTTAAAAGACATTAAACGTATATGTGACGAGGATTTTATTTTCCAACAAGACATTGCCTCGTACCATTGATCTCAGGATCTTGCAAACAAGGTGTCAATTTGATTGATCTTGATGCTCGACCACCCAACAGCCCCGATGCTACATGTAATGTGTTTGATTACCATACATGGAGCCATCTCGAGGAAATGGTACAATCAAAAGTATCCAATAAACAGCTTTGATGAGTTGAAACAGAATCCTAAAGCGCTGAAATGAATTGCAACAGAAATCTCTCAATAAGGCTATTGATAGATTGCGCTACCACTTCAAGCTTATTGTTGATGCAGAGGGGAGGGGGTGGGGGTATATTGAGCAATTGGAAAATTGTTTAAATAAATAAAGTGTAAAATGTTATTAAACAACACTGAAATTCATAAACTATAAATTTAGTCACACAATGATGCAAATATTAATATCCAAGCATGTATTCACCTAACAAATGAATGATATTCTATTAATAAAAAATTAACATAATTCCCCAGATTTACTATTTTCTCCCTTAAGTCTGGAGACATTAAATAGCAACCCGGCCTCCCAAATAAGTATAATAAAATTTTACTATTGATTTCATGACATAGTGTTATATACCAAATTGTTTGAAATTGTATAACCTTTAAAATGATATGTAAGTCAATGTACCATATTGAATGTAACTATTTTTATCCTGATTTGAAGTTGGGTATTGGTTTTTTTTGGCCCACCCTGTATATTTATATTCGTATAATATTTATTATATTGTATTGTATTGTTAGTATTCCTTCACGAGATGCCACATTGGCAACATAAAATAGCACAATGAATGAATAGCCTGTTATGAAATATACACATTGGGCATTATATTCATTATATTATATTAAAGCATATCATATTATATTATATTACATGTATATAATTTAATAATTGCACAAGCCCTCTCTTAAGATAGACATTCCCTGTTAATCCCATTCTCTTGCTGAACAAAGGGCTGATTCATGAGGCCTTCTGTAGCAATGCTCCCAAAGTTAACATTACAATAAACTGTACCATCCAAGAACTTAATATTCAGTATAACAAGGAACTGCAATATTTTTTTTACAATTCCTTTAGGCTAGTAGTACCAGAGTGCTCCAAAAGATGTCAAAACTATTGAACTCTTGTTTAGTTATTTTCTTAAGTTATAATTAGCAGGTCTGTAGTAAAATTCACTAAACATTTATCGTCTTTTGGGACTGTGCTTGTGCCACACCCTGATTAATGCAATACATCAATGCCTCAAATGCCAAAAAAGACAAAAATTACAAAGGAGTATGGTATATACTGTAGGCATACATGTGTTAAATGTACAAATAGTTGCACTTTTACTCCATACTTGTACTCACTTTTCAACATTCTTTACCAAGTTTAACTGCTGATGCTTGTTCTTCATCTTTCAGGGGCAATAAAGAGAAGGGTGGAACTGTTTTCCTTTGTGGAAGATGCTGAATATTTGCAGTTAGTCAGAACGTAAGTAAAAATCCTATCTTTGTTCACCCTTTGAGACAATGTGCTCTAGCAATTAATAACATTATGTAAAGTCGGTTGTGTTAAAAGTGTAAAGTCCTTACTTTTAATTTTCTTTACAAGTTTTTCTACATTAAAACTTAATTTTGAAAAGGTTTTCATCATAAAATTATAATTTCTTTTTACTTTTTACGACAAAAAGCAAACAATGAAGTATGAATAAATCCTCATAATATCAAAAGTATACAATATAATTATGCTCTCATTTTGTTGCAGACATTTAGAGGGGTCTCTAAATGAGTTCACACCAGACATCATAGTATACAATGCTGGTACAGACATTCTAGAAGGAGACCCCTTAGGCTGTCTATCAATCACTGCTCAGGTATTGCACATTTGGAAACAGCCCATGATGATCTATATCCTGCTCGATTATCTACAGGGCTTGTAGCTAGATTTTTCTTGATATAATTTTCATTTGTGAGTTCTTGCCTTTGTCCACTATCCAGTTAGGATTAAGTGCTGATAATGATAATGAAGTTGCTAGATGAAATGTAATGATATAATCAAGCCCATGATACTGTGATGTAATGTATGACTTTTATGTCACCACCACAAGTTGTGACATATCTGATAGTCTCCAACTTTTCTAACAAATGACAGGTGGTGACATTTTGCATTTTAATGCCTTGTTGGTTCATAATTTGATAACCAATAAGTATTGACATCATTGGTGGATAAACTATTATCTAAAGTGATATCCTTTTAATCTTTGAATATCTATATATAAATTCTCAGTAAAGAAAATGTTGTTATTATAAGAAAAAAGCATGTTCATTAACTGTTGTTTTTACAATTCATATAAAAGCAATTGTTTCTATTCTGTTTTTGTATATCCTCACTCTAATGAGATTACCATGGTATATTATGATTGTAGGGAATAATAGAACGAGACCAGATAGTATTCCAAAAGGCCCGTACATGTGGAATCCCAATTATGATGGTGACAAGTGGGGGCTACCAGAAGGATACTGCAAGGATCATTGCTGATTCAGTACTTAACCTACATCAACTGGGCCTCATTAATTGTGAAGCTGCAGAAAGGTGTCCTCCGCCAGGTATAATTTGGCTAAGGCTGTACACTCTAAGTTTATCAAATAGATCCCCTCTAAAAGTGAGGGAAATGTACAAAAATGATTAAACTGAACCTGAATTGATGGAGAAGTTTCAGTAAGTTAACCATGTGACATCATTGCAAGGTGTCTACTACATGTATTCTCCATTTAACCCACATGCAGGGCATGTTTTAAGCTAAATTTTCCTGCTGGTAAACTTGACTGGCAGGATTGAAATTTCAGGTGGTCGATGATAAAATATGCTGGTCATCATGACCAGCACTACTCCAAAATCTACTGGTCATTGAGAAATCTAGCTGGTCAATGAAAAATGCTCAATACAAAAATTACCTTACTACTTCATACCATGATAGTAAAATTCCCTGTATATAATGTGGCGTATGGATATATACTGGTAGTATGGTATGAGTGATCAATTCAAACTGAAGCACTGTTTACAGAAGTTTTTTAACCGGAATATTTGAAACTTGAATGATAAATTATTGAGGCAATTTATTGCTGAGAAAGGATGTGATTTTTATTCGTAGATGATCTTAGATCGCTTAATACTCTTCTGAACCATTTTACATACCTTAAGAGAGTTCAGACTGGAAATTGTGTTTGACCTCGTGTCAGATAACATTTGCTATTTTCCTTCCCTTATTTGGATATATTCACATATTTCCATTTTACTGGTTAATTGTGCATTCAGGTTGATCTATTTTAAAAACACTTACCCCTGCTATCATCGCCATACATGCACATAAAGTAAACAACAATAGGCTCTACTAATTAATAGAAAATTAAGTATCAGTTGGGGGGGCATAAAGTTGAATGAACAGCCGCATTTACTTTATGTTTAGAGGTCAGGTCAAGGTATCGGACATAATATCCAAGCCATATTCAGATATTTTCAATTAAATAACATGTGTCAGTCAGTATGTCCGACAGTTTTTATTTATAACCTGTCCCATCAATATTCTCCCGGACAAGACCGGCAGTCTGAAGATTACGTCGTGCCCTGCCAACTTGTCCTAATGATTCCAACAGGAGGTCATGTTGTACTGCATGCATAATTGGGCTAGGTATCACTCTAAAGTATTATTATTCAGCCCAATACCAAAGACTCCAGTCTTTCAATTTAAGTCTCATTACAAAGATGATGAATATCACCACAAATCATTGAACCATTTTGGGCGTTACCTTTTTGGCACTTACAAATTTAAAACCTGATTTAATGAAAGGAAATTAGAAAGGATTGAGTGTAAAATGTTGAAAGCAATCTTTTTGCTCTAATTTATGCCAATGTTTTTTCCTAGATTCTGATTTGAAAAAGAAATTCAGATATCTGATCAAATATAGAGAGTTTTGAAGGGGATGTCACCTTTCTCAAATTTTCGTCAGAATTGAAGATTATCCTGAAAAAGTCAGAGCTATTGGACATTTAGGAAACAGGCATGAAATGGAATTATGATGAGAACAAAGTGTTGCATAATTGACACTCATAGTCATCTCTATCCATTCTAGTTCCTTTAATGTATTAATTATTTAGGCCTTGATTATACCATGGGCTCTGTTGAAAACCCATGATTATGCAAGTTAGTTGACAGGCCCGTAGCCAGGATTTGCCAAGGGGGGGTTCAGTTTTCAAAAATTTCCAGGGGGGGTTCACTTGTGACAATTTTGGTCCAAAAATGGCCCAAATCACTTAAAAGTGCTCAAAATGGTGAAAAACTGCATGATTTTGAAAGATTTTTTGGCCAGGGGGAGGGGGGGGGTTCATTCGAAACCCATCAAAGCCCCCCCCCTGGCTACAGGCCATCAGGCCTGTTAGTTGATGTACTTTGTATTTGTTGCATTTGCATCATTAGAGACTGGTGTGAATTTGAACCAGTATAATGACATGCCATTTTATGTTGTGCCAATTTGTGTGTTGTGCTATTATGTTTGATGTTGTGATTATATTTTAGTTTTAGAATCTGAGGCACCTACAAAAAGTTTAAAAAGTCTGAAAAAACTCAAAAAATAAAAGATTCAGAAAAAGTGAGTTCAATTTTATTTGTCATTTATTTATTTATTGATTGAGAATATGGTTTGCTTCTGGTGGTGGCAGAATGCTGTTGCAGATAACCCTGGGTTGATCCGCCATTTATATTAATGTGATACATCAAAATAAAACACATTCTAAATAAATTCATTTTGCAAACTTGCGCTATCCCACGATCCACAGTAACAGTGCCATCTATCATACTTACTAAAATCAAATATTGGAGTATGTATGACAGCTAAAATTCAGAAATGCAAATAGTTGTGTTTCTTGTCTCTTTATTATCATATTAGAATCATAATAAAGACCTCGACTTTATGATTTATGTCAAATATATGACCTTAAATTTTATTCTGGCCATTGCCAAAGACCTCAATCGCTAAGCATTTTCAGTCATATATTACGCCATAAATCATAAAATCTCATTCTTTATTCCTTAAATAAAACCTCACAGTTTGATACCCTTACCAATAAAGGTTGCCTTATAGGTGACATCGCTAAATTTGTCCTCCTCACCAAGGTTAACAAAATAAAATTGCTCAACTTTTAAACCTGCATTTTCCCATGCTGAATACACATCCTCTTTGGTCATGTATAAAGAATGGAATGTCTTGCCATTTACTATCCATGAATCGGCTTCTATTGGACCAAGCTGAATAAAATGTCCTCCAGGTTTTAAATACTTCCCAATTAGTAGTTTCAATTGTGCCCTATAGGTGGCTATATCTGGACATGTGCAGTCAAGGATCCCTGCTGTGAGAAGTGTGTCAAACGGCTTTAAGTAGTTTGGTTCTGTCATGTTTGTGGGGTCCAGGCTGTTGCAAGGTATAACAGCAGTTATTGCATCACGAAGCTGTTTCTCTCGCTCCTCCCACTCACTCCTGGAATGCATCATTTTCTTTAATAGGCCTTTATATGGGAAGTTCTGATGACTAAAATACATACTTCAGTTTAAGTCAAATTCATCAGTTTTTCATTCAAAACATATACATGTATAATGAGAAAAAACATACTCATTTCCTTCCATTTTGGATATATGTTGGATGAATGGTGACCAGTCAAATGCATTTGGATCTTTCTCTAGCCACTTTACAATCTCTTTGCGTCCATCAGCAATGAATTCACTGCATGTGATATAGGGGAAGTAACGACTTGCACTTATAACTTCAAGTACACCTGGTCCTGTCCCAAAACTGAAGAGCCGGTTACCATGGTTACCATTATCTGAAACTGTTTCTGGGATCTTTGAGAATTATTTATAATTGAAAACTTCACAATGTTTGAACTTCTTGTAGGCAATGGATAGGTAACATGAAAATACATGTACATGTATACGGTAACATTGTCCATATATATAATATATTTATATTGATTTTTATTTTAATGGAAGATAAACACAGGCCTATGAAAAAAAAGTTCAATATAAACAGGTTTTACTGTATATGAAATACCACATATTTAGCACAACTCACTTTTTTCAAAGATTTCATGGAAAGTCTTCATGGCAAATCTCCTCATTTTTCCTTTAGGGGACTCTGTGTGAAGAATATTTTCAACGCTATAGAAGTCTCTCATATATGCCTGCAAATTATAAATGTTGAGTACTGTAACAGTTAAAGATAATTTGAAAGTACAGATTACTAGTCACTATCAGGAAGTGGTAGCATATTGTTATCGCCACATTTTTAATTTATTTCTGACTGGCATTTGGTGGTTGGTATCTTAAACCAATTTTTGACTGGCATTTGGTGTTTGGTATCTTAAACAAATTTTTGACTGGCATTTGGTAGTTGGTATCTTAAACAAATTTTTGACTGGCATTTGGTGTTTGGTAGGGCGAAGGGGTGTAACGTCGACACCATTTTGGGGTAACTTCGACATGTGGGGTAACTTCGACACCTTGTTTATTTGCTCTAATTTCTGATCTAGGGGGAAGCCATGTTTTTTTTCTCGCATGGATCGAGATCTCGCGAGATTTTAATTTTTCCAGAAATCAAACATGGCGGAAAACGGAAATTCTACTTCTAATACGTAAGTGTCGAAGTTACCCCGTCTATTATGTCGACATAACCCCACACGTCGACATTACACCCCTTTGCCCTATCTTAAACAAATTTTTGACTGGCATTTGGTGTTTGGTATCTTAAACAAATTTTTGACTGGCATTTGGTGGTTGGTATCTTAAACAAATTTTTGACTGGCATTTTGTAGTTGGTACCTTAAACAAATTTTTGACTGGCATTTGGTGTTTGGTATCTTAAACAAATTTTTGACTGGCATTTGGTGGTTGGTATCTTCAACAAATTGTTACCTTGTGAACACTTGCATGAACACCAACGAACACATGCGATAACCCCTTGCAATTGTTTGTCACTTTACTTTGACTGTATTGTGTGCCAAATAATCTCAGGATTTGATATTCAAAAAGAGTATACAACACAATATATAAGACGAGAGGCATCTAATTAGTTACAGTTGTGAAGTATTTGTATTTGTTTTGTTTAACCAAAATCCCAGGATTTGATATTTAAAAAGAGTATACCACACAATATAATCCATTGAAAATACCCGTGTTAATTCTTAGTTAGTATTTCTTTTGTTTGTTATTCTTTACCTCCATTGAGAAGTGTTCTGTGTAGTCTTCCCCCTTCCACATTTCAATCTCTGATAAAGATGTTAAAACATAATCCTATAATTTCCTGCTTTTCTTTAATCAGAGAAATTTCAATTGCAAAATGTTAGCCTTTAGCTTACAGGCTTGAGAGTTCTATACTCAGTTATTGTGTAGTATCTACTCAATTTGTCATTCTACAGTTGTAGTTGATGTGACATGTTTATATATTGTATTGTCTCAAGTATCAGATTACAGTAATTGTAATGATAAGGTTACAATGGGGACGAGCCCATATAGTGTACTTTTCAAAGTACGTGCCTCAGTTAGATTGCTGATACAACACTGTGAAATATAGGATCACCATTGTGCAGAGAAACATATCCCAATGAACAATGCTTTGGTGCTTTAGTTTAAATCACCCATAATTGTTTTATATACAGTAGTTTAGTTTTTAGTTATGTTAGTTCACTGACATTACAAATTCATAATATAAAATACATAGTAAAAACAATACTTTGTAACATCACCAGCTCGTGTCAACATATGAGACACAGTATATATTTATATCTGAATGTCACCTATTGTTATCCCCATTGGATAGCTTGTAAAGACAGAGGTATAGATCAATAATAGCTCTGGTATAGATCAATAATAGCAAACACATACATGTACTTCATGTACATTCATTTTTAACTGAAGTGATGAATGTATTTGTTTGATTATACTTGAATACAGAACAACTATAAGTCAACCTAAAATAAACCCAAAAAACAATGTTAAAACCGTTGTGACTAATCCCTATATGATTCTTGTAGATCCAGAAGTACGCCCTTCATCATTACCCAGGAGTCAAAGTGATGGTGGAATCTGGTCAAGATTAAGACGTAACTGCCTGGAATTGACCCGATCACAGACCCAGGAAGATATGACGTTACAAGTTCAGAGTCCAGTGTCATCACCAGGAGCTGAGATACAAACAATTCCTGAGGGAGAAAAAGTGTGATCTCTGAATTATCCATGACTTTTACTTTATGTAGATATCTCCAGTGCTCATGATATCACCACCAATATGTGGTGACATATTGTTACAAATTGAAATTCAGCATCTGTAACATATCGTTACACTTTTGTGATTATAATTTGCAATAATTTACCAGTTTTGTAGTAATTTTGACTAAAATCAAAACTATAGTGCATATTTCAGTTTCATGGAGAGCATTTTAGTTTCAATTATTTGAAAGTCAGATTGGCTTTGACAGGAGAAGGTGTTATGCTCAAGAAAAGAGATAAACTTCTTGAGAAGTCATGAATAAGAAACCACCATGAATTTGAGTAACATTGCATGCTACTTAATTGAATTTATTTCATATAATGAAGACTGTTGAAATATATTTTAGAGGGGGTATTTGTGAACTATATAATAGAACACATAACAACTTATATGAGCCTATATAAAATTATAACCTTATTATCGGTTCTATCTTTCTACTTGCTATCATCCTTGCAGAATATTTACATTCCTATTGCTTCTGGCATCAGCTGTTTTTAGTCTGATTTCATTGTTCATTGATTAGAGCTAGTCAATATATGATAATTGATCATACGAGATTATTGCATGTACATGTACTTAATTATTGTTTTATTTGCAAAACTAATTAGTGAGGCTGTTGTTATATTTATTTATTAATTGATTACGTTATATACATAATAGATTGTATCAGATAATTGTGCTCTTCTTGGGAGAATATGAATGTTTTGCATTAACTTTTATGTACCCCTCCCTTATTCCCACCTGCCCAGGAACATTCCATCTATTGTAAATGGGGGATTTGTATGAAGAAAGTACTTTTTCTACGCAGTTATGTTCACAACTTTTGTCAGTATTAAAAATGTCATTTGTCATTTAATGTCATTTCTCATTATTAGAAATCCAAGTTATGTAATTATACATGCATGCTTCACTGTTTCGACTTATGGCTACCATCTTGTTCACATCATGTTTTAGATATTTTATGCTTTTGTTTGCCATTCTCACTGTAATTATCCCACTGAACGAAGTTTGTAGGGATATAGAGAAGCTGTCCATCCATTCGTTTGCCCATATGATTGTCCAGGTGACGAACTCAAAGACCAGTTGGTGAATTTGGTTCATATTTTGTAGGCTTATGCCTTATGGGTGTAGGATTTCAACTTGATGAGGAATTTTGAATATGGTCGCTCATTCAAAATGGACACCATTTTTGTAGTCTTTGATAACTCAAATACTTCAAAATAGGTGACATTTTTAATAAAAATGTATTTTATGATAACCTAAATGCCATTTATGGATCAAATTATGGAATTCAGGCTTATAGGCTCATATCTTATGGGCAAAGGATCTATTTCTGCTCAAGGGGGCATTTTTAATGGGGCCACTCATTTCAATATGACTCAAATACTAATTGATGGATTTGGTTCAAATTTCACATGCTTTAGCTTATGGGTCATATGACAGCTCTTCAAAAGTTTTTTTTTAAGATGGCTGATCAATTCAAAATGGCTAATATGGCTGTTCAATTCGAAATAACCAACATTTTACAATTTTTTTTCTTGATATCTGAAATACCAGTTGACTGATTTGATGCTATATGCTGATACCCAGGGCCATAGGAGCTCTGCCCAAGAAGACAAATTGTGGAATTTGGTCCAAATTGTATCTTTTGTGCAAAGAATCCCTGCTCAAGGAGACATTTTCAATATGGCTGCTTGTTTCAAAATGGCCACCATTTTTCATTATAAATGTTGTTTAATAGCTAAAATACCATTTGACAGATTTGATTCAAATTTTGTATGCTGATGCTTTAACTGATGTAATTTTTGATGAGATAAATAGATACCAGTAATTGGATTTTCTTTAATTGCTGTTATGTAATGTCCAAAATGACCAGGCATTTGATAAAATGTGTTTTGTTCAGTGGAATATGCTACTCTGTGGAGTTGCTAATTTCTAGTTGTACATTGTATTACTCAGGTATATTTTATTAGTCAATCAAGTTGTACATATTTTGTATCACATTCAGCTTTCATAAATACTTACATACACAAATGATTCATGTGATATTTAGCTCCGAAATTTTAACTCACATGGCTATATATTTCAACCATCCACTGCTATTTGGAGTAAATAGGATACTGTAGTTGGGCTATACATGAATTTGTATGTTCATGGATTTGTATATATTTTAGCATAATGTGCAATGAGAAACTTCTATCAATACGTTAGTATTCAGTATTATTGTGTCAGTGTGTGGCATATTATTAATATTTTGTATATTTTGTAGTGTCCTCATGTATTAAACGTACATGTATGATGAAAGATGATATCTGTGGTTCTGTATATTTTATCCATCACTTGGTGTCAATACCTGTTACTAAGCCAGTGTGTCTCTACAAATAGATGACCTGCCTATTGTAGCGGATTTTTTTGAAGATATTTTATTTCCTCCATTTGACCCACGTTTCATTTCAATTTTGATTTTTCTTCATATGGGTTCATTTACACCAATGGAAGGGGGGGGGTGTTAAACATATTAAACTTGAATGGACTCATGGGTGTTAAACATATTAAACTTGAATGGACTAATAATTGAAAAACAATCTTTCCGTGATCGTTAAATGTCTCAAATAATCATGATCAGCTACTTCATTTATAATAGACAGTCTTCAAAACGTCCATCTCATTCGCAGTTCGTTAAGGTCGCATCATATCGGAGTGTACACATACTGCGATAGATATCGGATTGCACAACGTCGTTAACGCTACTATCACGTGTACACCAACGTAGTTCTCAATACGTTCTCGAAAAATGGGATTAAATTGTGTACGAACGGAGTTGACGTACTTCGAACCATTTGTGGTCTATTTATAAACTTCATGAACGTACTCGAACGGGTAGGTCCTCTAGAACTTAGAACAGGGCCATTTTTTCGTGGTCGTCGTGGTCTGCAATTAGAACGAGTAATAACGTACTAGAACTACGAGCTTGACATACTACGAACGGAACTGTCGTACTTCAATCCTACTAGGGACGTTTTTACAACGAGTTGAAATGTCTGAGGACGTATTGAGAACGAGGTATAACTAATTGCAAACGGGTTTAAACTGATTTGAACGTATTAAAGACTGCTTATGAACGAACAAAATATAGCTATCACACCAAACTAGTTGCCACTGCGTTCTTCAAAATGTTGCCGAACTGGTTTTAAACTGTGTGCGAAAGGAATGAACGTAGCTTCAATTTTCTAAGGTCTAGTTAAGAACTTCATGAACCTAGCTACTCGGACGGAAAATGATTTTAGAATTTTGAAACATTTCAAAATTCGATGGCGACAGTACTGTTCTGTTATAAAATCGTGTGACAACGTACTTCAAACGAGATGACCTACTAGACTGGGGACGTAATCGTCGTACTTCGATGCTACTAGAAACGCGTTATACGACGTTGTGCAACAAGATATCAATTGCAGTACGTCTGCACACCGACGCGGTGCCACCTGGACGAACTGTTAAGGAGATGGACGTATTCGAAACTGTTTATGAATGAAGAAGCTAATTATTTTAGACATATTTCCAGACTACTGCCAGATTTAGCCCGTTTTGCGACTTTTTTGTTGGAAAGAAAGGTTGAAAACTAGTTTGGTGTGATAGGGGGAAATGCGTCCCTAGTTGGGTCGAAGTTAGTAAATAGACCGTAGAAAGTTGCAGCAACCTTCATTCCGTTCGCACACAGTTTAAAACCAATTCGGCGACGTTTTGAAGGACGCAGTGACAACTCACTGCTACTCACCTAGTCACGCTGACGATACGTCAGCGTAACAAGATGGAAGAACTTCCGGGATTCGTTTTCGGTAAGATATTTTTATTTCTCGATTCTACACCACTTTTAAGTTAAGTTGTGAACAATACTTTGACTCAAAGCTAAGGAAGATAGTCTATTTGAGAACCTGCAGGCGGTTCTATGTTTGTCCATGTCCCTCGCTTTAATTTGTTACGTTGACGATCTTCATGGATATTGTCACATGGGCAATATGCATGAAGATCGTCTAGACTTCTCGTTTTAAATGTCCTCTTTTGAATATTCATAATTTAATTTGAGTGATATTTCTGTATTTTTCATAAAAAATTATAAGCCCAGGAGATTGTTCTCCAAACAGAGACTTGTCCTTTCACAGTTTGATGCCCTTGCCAATAAAGGTTGCTTTATAGTTAGCATCGCTAAATTTGTCCTCCTCACCATACTTAAGAAAATAAAATTGCTCAACTTTTAAACCTGCATTCTCCCATGCAGAATACACATCCTCTTTGGTCATGTATAAAGCATGGAATGTCTTGCCATTTACGATCCATGAGTCAGCTTCTAGTGGACCGAGCTGAATAAAATGTCCTCCAGGTTTTAAATACTTCCTAATTAGTAGTTTCAGTTGTGCCCTATAGGTGGCTATATCTGGACATGAGCAGTCAAGGACTCCTGATGTGAGAAGTGTGTCAAACGGCTTTAAGTAATTTGGTTCTGTCATGTTTGTGGGGTCCAGGCAGTTGCAAGGTATAACAGCAGTTATTGCATCACGGAGCTGTTTTTCTCGCTCCTCCCATTTACTCCTAGAATGCAATTTGTTCTTTGATAAGCTATAAGAATATTCTGATGACAAAATTATAGACACTAAATTTCAGTTAAAATCTATCTTGCATAATAAAATATATGTAAATATTTATCAATTGTATAAAAATCATACTCATTTCCTTCCATTTTGGATATGTGTTTGATAAATGGTGACCAGTCAAATGCATTTGGATCTTTCTCTAGCCACTTTACAATCTCTTTGCGTCCGTCAGCTATGAATTCACTGCATGAGATGTTGGGGAAGTAACGACTTGCACTTATAATTTCAAGTACACCTGGTCCTGTCCCGAAACTGAAGAGCCGGTCACCATAGTTACCACTATCTGAAACTATTACTTTGATTATATTTATAATTGGAACATATATTATGCTTGAACCTCTTGTCGGGTACTGGTAACATGAAAATTGACTGGATTTTGAATATTTAATGACAATTATCGAAATTATTTCCGACTCGCATCTTGTCTATTAAGATTGGTCAATCACTCAGTGTAATCAAAACTTTTATATAGGCCCTATATGAAATGGCACATGAAACAAAACTTACTTTTTTCAAAGATTTCATGGAATGTCTTCATGGCGAATCTCCTCATCTTTCCTTTTGGGGACTCTGTGTGAAGAATATTTTCAACGCTATAGAAGTCTCTCATATATGCCTGTAAATTATAAATGTTGAGTACTGTAACAGTTAAAGGCCCCATGTAAAGTTTAAACCACTTTGGCTTATATTGTAGTCTTACCCAATGTTATCAAAGTGTGATATGTGAAACTTTTTTTTTTAATTTCAAAAACTGGTTTTTGATAGACTTTTTGTTCCAAAATTTGTGAATTTATTTAAAACCAACTTTTAGAGGTCACTCATATCTTCTAATTAGCCACAATTCATACCAATGCATAGCATACATCCTCCCATGTTTTTTGCCGAAATAATTAAGAAAATCGGTTGATAAACAAGCGAGAAATGAACTTATCAGCGCATGAAAATGATTCTGAGAAAAATGCATTTCAAAATTTTAGTTCTCATAGAAACCAATGGTACAATGATATCTAAAACATAATTTATTCTTCCTTTTATCCTGGTTAGACAATCAACATTTGTTTTTTATGAAAGTCTAGCATATTTAGAAAAGATTGACATCGAAAAAAAATTCAATTTTTTTCAAAACGTTTTTGTTACCTTAGTGCCATCACTAATGTTTCAAAATATTTTTGATAAGCTAAAACATTGAAGTGGCCCATTAAATATGACATTTTATTATTGAAATAGTGTCTTTTGTTCAATCTTTGCATTGGTGTTGAAAATATAATCTTTTTTGAAATGCATTAAGAAATATTTGATGATTAAGAAATTTAAACTTTTTTTGAAAAATGGCGGGAATTTTGAATATTTGAGAAATGAAATGCTCAAAACTTTTTTTTCAAAAAAAATTTTTTGTTCAAAAATCTATAAAATCACTTTTTAAGTCCTGACAAATAGTAAATGAATGATAAAAAAATATTTTCAAACTTTAGACGGGGACTTTAACCATAATTTAACCAAAATCCCAGGATTTAATGTTCAAAAAGAGTATACCACACAATATAATCCTTTGAAAATACCTGTGTTAATTCTTAGTTAGTATTTGTTTTGTTTATTATTCTTAATTACCTCCATTGAGAATTGTTCTGTGTAGTCTTCCCCCTTCCACATTTTCAATATGTTTTTAATTTAGAATAAAGATGTAAAATGTAACCTAATAATTTCCTGATTTTCTTTGATTAGATGAATTTCAGTTGCAATGTATTAGCCAGTCTTTAAATTAAGAATCCTAAAAAATATATACTCAATAATTTTGTTATTCTGTGTCTTCTTTTAGTTTATACGTCTACTTGTACTTTGTGCTTCAATTTTATATGTTTATACATTACATCGTATCAATTGATCGTGATGATAATTGATAAGGCTAGAATGAGAATAAGGTCATGGTGAACTTTGAAAGTACCTCAGTGACCCTACTATCATACCAAACTAGTTCTCACTACGTTCTCGAAAACGGGCTTCAACTGTGTACGAACGGGCTGGACGTACTTAGAACCCTTTGGGGTCGATTTACAAACTTCATCGAACGTACTCGAACGGGTAGGTCCTCTAGAACTTAGAACATGCTCAAAATGTTCTCGTGGTCGTCACGTTCTACAATTAAAACGAGTGACAACGTACTAACGACGAGCTGGACGTAATACGAATGGAACCGTCGTATTTCAATCCTACTAGGGACGTTTTTACAACGAGTTGAACTGTTTGAGGACGTATTGAGAACGAGGTAGAACTAATTGCAAACGAGTTTAAACTGATTAAGAACGTATTAAAGACTGCTTATGAACGAGTTAGCAAAAATATAGCTATCACACCAAACAAGTTGCCACTGCGTTCTTCAAACCTGGTTTTAAACTGTTTGCAAACGGAATGAACGTAGCTACAACGTTCTACGGTCTGTTTACAAACTTCATGGACTCTCCCGGACGGGGAATGTGATTTAGAATTTTGAATCGATTCAAAATTCGATGGCGACCATACCGTTCTGTAATCAGGTCATGATGCCCTTCTAGACTAAAAGGGACGCGTTATAAGACGATGCACACCGACGTGGCGCGACCTGAACGAACTGCGAATGAGATGGACGTATTGCGACTGTTTATGAACGAAGTAGCTAATTATTTGAGACATATTTCCCGACCACAGCCAGATTGAGCCCGTTTAACGACATTTTCGTAGGACTGGAACGGGTAAGAACTAGTTTAGTGTGATAGGGGGGTAAACAACACTGTGAAACCTGATCATTTGATCACCATTGTACCGAGAAACATGTCCCAATGAACACTGCTTGGTAGCCTTGCCCCAAAAGTCGGTCTCTACTTAACTTGATTTTCAGTCTTTGGGCAAGGCTAACTGCTTGGGTGCTTTAGTTGTTGGATTTACACTAAAGCCCCAAGACGTCTTGGCCAAAACGTTTTAGCGTTAAAACGTTTTACAAATGTAATGTAAATCCAGATTTTCTCAAGAGCTCTCGGCTAAGATCGCTTACCCCCCTATCACACCAAACTAGTTCTTACCCGTTCTTTCCAGTCCTACGAAAACGTCGTAAAACGGGCTCAATCTGGCTGTGGTCGGGAAATATGTCTAAAATAATTAGCTACTTCGTTCATAAACAGTCTTCAATACGTCCATCTCATTCGCAGTTCGTCCAGGTCGCACCACGTCGGTGTGCAACGACGTATAACGCGTCCCTAAGTCTGTTAGTCGAGAAGGTCATTATGACCTGATTACAGAACGGTATGGTCGCCATCGAATTTGAATCATTTCAGAATTCTAAAATCACCTTCCCGTCTAAGAACGTTCATGAAGTTCGAAAATAGTCCTTAGAAAGTTGCAGCTACGTTCATTCAGTTAACACAGTTTAAAACCAGTTTTGAAGAACGCAGTGGCAACTTGTTTGGTGTGATAGCTATATTTTTGCTAACTCGTTCATAAGCACTCTTTAATATGTTCTTAATCAGTTTAAACCCGTTTGCAATTAGTTCTATCTCGTTCTCAATACGTCCTCAGACAGCTCAATTCGTTGTAAAAACGTCCCTAGTTGGATTGAAGTACGACGGTTCCGTTCGTAGTACGTCCAGCTCGTCGTTAGTACCTTGTCACTCGTTCTAATTGTAGAACGTGACGACCACGAGAGTATTTTGAGCATGTTCTAAGTTCGAGAGGACCTATAGCTACCCGTTCAAGTACGTTCGATGACGTTTGTAAATAGACCCCAAACGGTTTTAAGTACGTCCAGTCCGTTCGTACACAGTTGAAGCCCGTTTTCGAGAACGTAGTGAGAAATATTTTGGTGTGATAGTAGGGTTAGCTAAAACGTTTTAGGACCCTAGTCACAGCCAAGAAGTCTTAGCGTTAAAACGTTTTACAAGCGAGTGGAAATCCAACGGTTTTAGCTAAGAGCTCTTAGCCCGGTTTTATGCGTTGCGCTGAACGAAACATTTGAAACTTCCTGATTACATGTGTAGCATGGTCCTTCCTCTTGTCTCATCCCTTTGTTACCAATATCATCCAAAAAATATCGAGAAGAACTAATTCGCCTAGCGTTCTATCATAATCCTAATATATGCACAAAATCTGCCTGTCCTTTTTCATGCTTTTAACAATGCTCTCTTTAGGACATATTTTTTTGAAACCGATGCATTCTTAAGCAGAAAATATAGAAACGGAAAAGGAATAGCCATGTTGACTGAACCGCTGGACTGCTTTTTTCATTTTACATGTATGCCTACATATCTCTAAGACGTTTTAGAAAAACAGGTGTAAACTCAATCATATTTCGTAATTAAGACGTCTTGAAATGTCGCGTGTAGTGTAAATAGGGCTAGTGTTTTGTATGCAGTGCACCCCATGCACTTGCATTTTAACAAGATAATTTGTTTGTTTATATTTTCAATAATATGTCTTATCTACCTATTTTTCTCAAATAATCTTGTCAAAATTGATGAACTGACTCGGTTATTGGGTAGATAAAAAAGACAGATTTTCTCATTTACAGTTTTGATTGATTTTGAGTCAGGGCATGCCTCCATGGAAAATGCGATATTCTAAAGTTCGAAGTTACTGATGCTATACAGGCATACCGATCTTTTTACCGTTGAACACTATTTACACATAACACTTCATGAAGATTTCTTAATTACACAGATGCGAGTAGATAGTTACCAGTTTCGCCACCAGGTGGTTAATTCGGGGCAAATAACATGGCAGGGTATTACAAGTTCCCTTAAACTTGAATATTCATCAATTGTAATGGTTCACTTTTCATGTATCTGATAGTATACAAATTAAAATATATCCAGTAAAAGAAAATAATACCTTTTTTGTGATTTTACAACATGGGGTCTGTAGGGAATCTCCCCGACCTAGGAGTCACATTTTCAAAGAAAATTATTTTTTCAAAGTTGATAAACTCTTTTTAAAACCACATTTCTAGAAGTAATTTTACTTCTCGCATAGTCTATTGTTGAGAGAGTTATTCCGAAATTAGTGGGTGGTAGATAATTGTGTCATCCTGTGTTTTAAGACGAGCTAGACGTACTACGAACGAAACTGTCGTAACCCTACTATCACACCAAACTAGTTTTCACTACGTTCTCGAAAACGGGCTTCAACTGTGTACGAACGGACTGGACGTACTTAGAACCGTTTGAGGTCTGTTTACAAACTTCATCGAACGTACTCGAACGGGTAGGTCCCCTAGAACTTAGAACATGCTCAAAATGTTCTCGTGGTCGATACGTTCTACAATTAGAACGAGTGACAACGTACTAACGACGAGCTGAACGTACTACGAACGGAACCGTCGTACTTAAATCCTACTAGGGACGTTTTTACAACGAGTTGTACTGTCTGAGGACGTATTGAGAACGAGGTAGAACTAATTGCAAACGGGTTTAAACCGACTAAGAACGTGTTAAAGACGGCTTATGAACAAGTTAGCAAAAATATTGCTATCACACCAAACAAGTTGCCATTGCGTTCTTCAAAACTGGTTTTAAACTGTGTGCGAACGGAATGAACGTAGCTGCAACTTTCTAAGGTCTATCATGTCTATTTACGAACTTCATGAACTTACCCAGACGGGAAGGTGATTTTAGAATTTTGAAATGATTCAAAATTCGATGGCGACCATACCGTTCTGTAATCAGGTCATGATGACCTTCTAGACTAAGGGACGCGTTATACGACGTTGCACACCGACGTGGTGCGACCTGAACGAACTGCGAATGAGATGGACGTATTGAAGACTGTTTATGAACGAAGCAGCTAATTATCTTAGACATATTTCCCGACCACAGCCAGATTGAGCCCGTTTTACGACGTTTTCGTAGGACTGGCAAGAACGGGTAAGAACTACTTTGGTGTGATAGGGGGGTTAGTTACTCAGCATACCAAACTAGGTCTCAAGCGTTCTTTCCAGTCCTACAAAAAGCCGTAAAACGACTTGGGATAATTACTTCAGCTTCAGTCATCGTGAAACTCACTTGGGATGTCACTTTATCAATCGCTCGCTTTGTATGCGTTGTGGTATTTTTACTTAATGATAAATCCTTAGAAAAACAATAAATTAAGGTTTGTTTTAGCTTGTTTGTTGTTTCAATATGTGTTGAGTTTCTTCATTTATTTTTCGCCCAGATAAAGAAACTAACAAGGTGTGAAAGGGCACACAGGGCACGGATTGCCCATAGCATTGTGAGACGTCAAAATGATCAAAACAACTCCTCCCCTATTGTTACGTAAACGGAGTGATTAGAACTTAGAATTGTTCGTTTACGTAACGTAGAATTATATCGATGAGTGGTGTCTGTGAAGATAACTGCAATATTGAATGTAATTAGTTTCTAAATTCCTTGAAATGAAAGTGATCATGCACACACAATTTAGAAATTAACCCACTTTTGGGAGGGCCTGTTATATGGATCACCTTCTTCACTTTGGAAAACATAAATCCTCGATCCTCGATTTTTTAATATGTCATGATTTTAATTCAATCAAGAATCCATTGTGACACCACCACAGTGATCATCATACCATCATACAATCTTATTTTCAAAATGCAAATAAATTAAACGTTATTTGTTTTAAACATATTTCAACAAAACCAATTAAGTTTATTTATGATAGTATTTAATTATCTCAATCATTTTATACAAACACTTTCACCTTACTACTGACTTAGTTACAACCAATGCCGCTTTGTGTGTTTGACCATAAGCGTAAACGATTGTCATCTAGTGGATTATAGTTTCTATGAATGTATCACTAGGGAAATTACTGTCATGTAAAGTTACACAGCACATTGATATAAATGTTATTTTTATTCGATTGGGATCTTTGATGATTAGCAAATGCTACAGATGGATATCACATCGCTCCCCTGAGCCATTAAGGTTACAATTATTTGTGAAACTATACTCTGTTCGGCTATACTCAGCACTTAATTGTTGTCTACGCCTTCTATAAATGTTTCGATATTTGGGGCAACATGCAAAAAGTATTTTCAGGAAAGCTCGACGGAAGTCCCTCATTGAGCATGCGTAGATAATAGGATTCATTCCGGAGTTTATATAACCCAACCAAGTCACTATAGGAAATATTATCTCAGGATGTTTTACACAGTCTAATTTACAAAGTGCGAACATGGCATTAAATATAAAGAATGGCAACCAACAAATTATAAATATGCCCATTACTATTCCCAAAGTTTTGGCAGCTTTTCTCTCTCGTGCTAGTTTCGTGACTTTTTTACTAATGGCAAATGTTTTAAACTTTCTTGATATCTTGTTGTTCACTGCATGTCCAGAACTTCTTAAATCTTCTTCACTTCTTTGAATAAGATGAGCCGGACTCTCGGTGTCGCTATCACTGTTAGCTCGTTCGTAAATACTATGACCATTCATCCCATGTGTACTAATACTACTCGGACTACATCCATGTCCGGAATGGCCGTAACCGTTGCCATTTTGACTTAGTATTGTCTTCCTACCCCCTCTATGCATTCGCAACGCAATAACTTCACCATCAACGCCCTCTGTCGACATGTGCATTTGCTTCTGCCCTGACTGTAATCCGCGAAGCTGAATAGTGGCAACGCGATAGATTCGCCAATAGACGAAGCACATGACAAAGAGAGGGATATAAAACGAGACGAGGGATGAAAATATAAGGTAAGCACTGTCTCCGGTGAACGTACACTTGTATGGAGACGAGTTTGTTGGCTCAACGTGCCTCCACCATAGTATAGCCGGAAATGAGATTCCACACGAGCATACCCACACTACCGCTATTGTTACACAAGCTCGCCCAATGGACATCTTTCTGGGGTACGCTATCGGATCAGTGATAGCCCAATATCGATCCAGAGAAATGACACAGAGATTCAAAATTGAAGCAGTGCTTCCTAAAACATCAAATGAGTGCCAAATATCACACCAGTCACGCCCAAAAATCCATACATCGTTCATTTGTTCAAGGATAATACCAAACGGCATCACTACACTTCCCATGGCCAGGTCTGCCGTAGCAAGGGAAACTATAAAATAATTTGTCACCGTACGTAAATACCGTTCCCTGGCAACGGCTATGACAACTAAGATATTTCCAACTATGGTGACTATGGCGAAGAATCCTAAAAACACTCCGAGTAATGGAGTTTTGAAATGAATTTCAGGCCGAGGGAATCCTTCAGTAGAGTTTGCACATACGCAATCGATTTCCGAAGCATTGGGGATCAGATTACAACAAGTTACTAAAGACGCGCTCACTTCTGAGGGTGTCATTTCAGTTGCCCCATACTCAAAAATATTTGAAAGGGTTCTATTTACAATATCACTTGCACTGGTCAATATCGGTTTAATGTTAAAATCAATTGTATCATCTTGCGTGTTTGCGATATCATTTGTAATATCCTCGCTAATCCAACTTGGCGTTGTTGCCAAATCAGTTGTGGCACTACTCCTGTTCCAGTATGTTGTATTACCAATATCCGTTAACCCATGTATCGTCCCGGGGCTTGTCGAATTGGAATCGATCAAAACAACATCGTTAACTTTCCGCATCCTTTCCATCATTTTAACGAGGCGGGATATAATCAACACCCAGCATTGAAATCAGTCAATTATCAATTAGAATTCTATGTGTCGATTAATGAGATCCGTTGATGTATAATGATGACCAAATAAAAGTATCGCGAAACGTGTCCTACGTTTCGTTTAAACGAGTTTACTTTGCGGATGCAATACTTTAAGCTTGCATTTCTTCCGTAAATAACCTACTAATTTCCATTGTGAAATGCAGATACTTCCGTAATAAGTTTGACATTTTAAAATGACTGAGCGTTTCATATGGCAATAAGTCAGTTTTCAACATTGTGTCGGTAAATATCTATCTTAGCTCGATAATTGTATTACAAATGATTTCGACAAGTTTACATCCAATCCCTGTCTTTATGAGACACATGCACACTATTATTTGCAGAATTTATCTCGCTATACGGATATACAAATGTCAGTAAACTATTTCTTCTCTGATTGCTCCAATGATGCAGGCGATGTACTTTTGATAAGTCAATTCCTCTAAGACAATATGCGGTTAGGTTAGTAAATTCTCCTAAGATATTGTCGCTTGGCTATTAACTTAAATGTTTCTTCAAAAACTTGACTTTGGATTGCAGTTTTATGTTTCCAATTTGCTGTATAATACTCCTTAGTATGACACAAAACATTTATCAGCCAGTTATAAGCTAGGATTACTGTTTTTATCGTGACGGCTATTTTCCGAAGAACAACTATAATCTCTAAAACGAGTTGCACATTCGTTCCGAATCGATACTCCAAATAAGATGTTATGAAATTATCTTTTTCATCCGCAAGATATATTCCATAACCGTTTCGTTTGAATCAACGGGTCTTTAATTAGTCTGCCTTCACTCGATGCGAGTACGATCCCATAATATCCATATCAATTTAAATGATAGTTTATATGTTTAATCATTATTCCTCCAACTGATGTTCGTTGTGATATCACTAACAATGTTCCCGTGTAGCGAATCCTACGCAACAAGAATAGTATTAACCCTTTAAGGTCAACGCTGAAAATGCCAAGGCGATGGCAAGTACTTGTTGCTTTTACGATTGTCTGAGATTGCTTGCCGCACTTAACACTAATTTTGAGTATCCATTTTCTTGAGACTAAATTTTGTTATAGACGCGCGACATCCGAACGTAGGTGATGTATCTCTTATTAAGTATGGATTCGAAGCCTCATTGCTTTCTTCCCACGGTGGTTGACCTGCAAATAAACACATATCTGCATATAAATTATTCCGTTTTAACAATAATTAAAAAAAAACTACAGGCTGTAAATAAAAGTGCCACCAACAGTCATAAATGTTTTCGCTTGTTGATGCAGCGCAAGTTATATTCTTTATTGATATTATTTATTCCGATTTATCACGAAACAATATACACAATGAAAATGCGTATGATATGTTTTTGTTTGATATGTGTACTCAGTATTTGATGACGTTTATGAGTAATTATCGTGACAAGGATCTATTTACACTATTACTGTTAAGACAAAGACTTTAATTCAATGTATATGTATATAATGAATAATTCACCAAAACCGGAACTACTTCTATTTCAGTTTGCATTTATATGGTTGTCCTCATTTAATTGTTTTAATAATGTTTTATTAAGTTGGGTTGTAAATCATTTAATTTCAGATAATAGTAATGCGGGAATCGAAAAAAATAATTTACAGCTATGTCATTGTTCACTGGTCATAAAAGTCCGAGGTGTTTGATCCACATAGACAGTTATATTTATATCAACTTTATTTATCGTATCGATCGGCTTATATAGTCTACAGCTGCCTATGTGAGCGTTAATGTATTGATGATTTAAATCTTTAGGGGCAATTTCAGGAAATGTTTGTCCTAATAGAAGTTGACTTGTGACATCAGTTAATTTTTGTAATTACGCCTATGCACGCATTACCTATATGCACGATGATGTAAAGGTGTTCTAATAAATGGCAGACCCAAGGTTCGGTCAAGAAATACTAAGGATTTATCTTAGCACATTGCGATAAGTTTTTATGTCACCATCGCAAGTAGTGAATAGTCTCGACACTTTTTTATGGACGGTGTCCGGCGTTTGGGGTCTAGCGTTCGGCGGTTGGTGTCTGTAACAAATGGCAGGTGATGACATTTTGCATATCACTTTATTATGACGTATTGGCATCTCTCCGTATGTTTGATTCAAAACGAGATTACATGTTATTCAATGGAGTTCCTGTGATTTGGGGCAATTACCTCCCAGCGGCTTTTACTTCCGATAAGTTCCAGGCCCCGAGATTAAAATGACAAAATACACCGTTCCTCATAATTATGGAATATGTGTTAATATTCGTCATCCATATCTATCATGAGTAACGGTGTATTTACTGTCAACGAGGTATTTTCTAATGAAAAAATGTTAAATGCTTGTCATAACTTCAATCTGTCACATTAGTCGTGTGGGTTCACCTTCCGCCATCGTGTGGCTAATTTTGGGCATTGATTCTTTAAAACTATTTGGTTCGTCCACTGTGTATCTGTGTCGTGTCCCGCCGTCTGTCCCAAAGTATCCACGTGGTGGCGAAGGATGAGCTCATATGGCGTAAGTGTGACAGCTCCATAAGGTGCCACAGAGTCACGTTTCATATTTAGCTAGATGGGCATGGTAATCAAGTAACTGGAGAGGCGGCCATTTTGAAATACAAAAGTTATGGTCACTGAATGATCAAATTAACTAATCGAGTACTGTATACGTGACGCAAAATGCATTCATTGATGACCTTCACCTGAAGGGCAGGGCCAGTTGAAAGGGTAGGAGGTCCTATCAAATGATGGTCCTACTTTCCATTGATTTACATGGTGACCTAAATACAACTCTCATTCCCTTATTATCCTATCCACAATCAGGGCCAGTAAGGACCTTTAAGAAAGGGGACCATAATCCCTGGGGGACCATATTTTCTTTTACACCGGGGCTATCGTTAATTTGTTACATTTAAGGTACATACTGCAAAGCCTTATTCGTAATTATTCTTCATCGATGTTCTGTTCTAAGGAGCTCTACATTTCCTTCTAATTGAGTAAGATATAAGTCGATTCTTCCTTAAGGTCTTAGACTACCTACTATATTAATTTGCAACCTGTATCATTGTCTTGCATCCGTTTGCTTCTAAGGACATTATGGCACATGCGTGATGACGGAACGAATGTGTTGTTAAATTGCTTTTTATTGCCGAACATTGCCGAGTTTTGCCGAGCATAGATAGCCCATCTATCTAATCGAACAACCGGCATGTCGTGTGGGAGGGCCTCTGGGATCCCGAAATTAAATTAAATACTAAAAGCACTAGATAATTGTAGGCGTACAACATATACGACTGAGTATAAGTTACAATTATATGTCCATTACACATACATGTCGTGCCGTAACTAAAGTCTGCTCCCTTGAGATTATCGAAATAGATATTTGATATGCTTTTATCTACAGTATCCAATAAATATAGTCACCATATGTGTTCCAAAAGAAGCCACACTGTTAGTAGAAAGATGCATTGACGTAATCGTTTTTGTGATCTGTGATCGGCGTCTGTTACAAATTGTTACTTTTTGTTACCATTTGCAATACTTTACCACCAGGTGGTGACCTTTTGTGTTATACGCATGCGCTTCAGTTAAATATCTAACATCTAAAAAAACTTCATCAAAATAATTGTGTTAAAATTAATTCTTCAGAGTTCATTTCTTGTTAAATCAGCCTACGTATAACAAGAGTCAGAACTGACTGTTATATATGGAATCACCTCGATGGAGGATATTGAGGTAATTGCTATGATTATTATTAACAGCAAATTATATGAACACCAATCCACCAGTTATATACTTTTTGACTACTCTATCGAAGTGTATATTCAAGGCCATACCTGAGCAATTATTTAACCAATGATCGAAGCGAGATGCTCTATATGATGATACACACAGACTGCAGTCAATAAAACCATATTTATGGTATTTCGATAAATACTTTCAAAGGCGCTCGTTTTTTCCATTTGCAAGTTGGGCTTTCCGAGATCAAAGAATCGTTTATTGAAATATGTGCATGATTTGCAGATAGAAATGTATATGATATCTAGATGAGTAAGGCGAACAACAAGCAGATCGATATCTTCTTAATGTAGATGCATTCCTTCGTTAGTGAAGATCCATCTCAACTTGCTTGTACTGACAGCCTGGGACCTGGACCGTTATATAGTGCCATGTTAAATTAGTCGTTAGAGTCATTATATTTTATTACGGTGCATGAAGAATGATTAAACTTTAGACTTTTTTAGATCTTTCATCTCAGCTACTTTTCTACTTGTCATAAACGTGTGAAGATGATATTACTTACTGTCTGCGTAAATAAATACAGTGACAATATGTTTTTTTAAATGAGGACATCAAAGGCAATATAATACGTGATAACCGTCATATTTTTATGACAGTTGAAACTCCTGATAAAAGTGTAAGCTGCAAACAAATGAAACAACAACTATAACTAACTTGACGGAGTAGCAAATCCCTCCGAACAAAACATATTTTGATAAATAGCCTTTTCTTTTTGAACAGAGCTCCTTCCTTAGTCCTTAGGTGGGAGGTATCAGTATATAAAATTTGAACCAAATTCGTTCACTGGTATTTAAGTTATCAAAGATTATGTTTTCCGACAAATGGCGACCATTTTGAAATTCAGCTGCCATCTTGAAAATTTATTTTTGAGCAGAGCTCCTTTGTAGCAGCACATAAAACCAATCCACTGGTATTTGATTTATCAAATATAGCGTACCTAACATAACATAGATAAAAGGTATGTTAGTCTCAGGTATAAAACGGCGTAGAAGACGTTTTGTCGCCTAATCTATCGTATCAAACATGTGGTACCGCCTTTGTGTCACCAATAGCTTTTAGAGAGACTACCCGTGACAAGAATGTTTCCTTCAAATTAGACACAGATGACTAACAACATAAGCCTGAGACAAATACCTTTTAATCAGAGTGAGACGCGCTTGTTCTCAGATCGAAACTCGAATTTGTGTCATTGTCCCACACAATTGCAGTTTTATGGCACATCATAACTACCAGTAGCTTCCCCTAAGGACGACTTAGTTAAAGATTGACGCCATTTTCGAAACAAAGTCATCTTTCCATTGATCTAATCTCCGATGAAAGAGTCCCTT